CCCTCTCCAGCGCCCCCTCCCCCTCCCCCTCCTCCCTCGTCGACCCCCGCCCCGACACCAACCGCAAAGCAGGCAAAGAGCGCACCGCCCGCGAGGACATCCGCGCCCAAATGGAAAAGCACTACAACGAGCTCCTCGACGCCGGCCCCGCCTACGCCCCCGTCACCCGCCTCAACAAGCACAACAGCGACGTCGCGCGCATCCCCTGCAAGAAGGAGGAGGTGCTCCATCTCTCGTTTCGGCTGCATGAGGCTCGGAAGGCGGAGATTGCGCGGCTGCGGGAGGCGGTTCGGGGGGTGTTGGTTGGCTTGGATGCGGTGCCGCGGTTTGAGGGGTTGGGCGAGTTGCGTGCGGGGGTGGAGGCCGTGTTGGATGGGAAGGGCGGGTTGGGCGTGGGCTTGGGAGAGGGTAGGGTTGGGTTTTACTCGACTAATACGCCGGAGGCTACGCCGTCGCCGGAGCATGCGTTGCATTTTTTGCAGTTGCCGCCGGAGATGGGGTGAGGGGGTTTGGTGGGTTGGGTTTTATGCGTGGTTCTGCGCTTGGGGTTTGTTTGGGTGTATGATTTACTGGTTTCTTTCTTGTTGGCGTTGTCTATTCTGCTTCTTCTTTCTTCTTTTGGTTCTACTTCTTCTTCTTCGCGCTCGGGTTTCACATACGTGCCTATCATACGAACGGCTCTACCATCATCATTATCATCATCATCATTGTAATTCGCTTTTTCTTTGGGGGGGGGGCCAAACACCGTCATCGCCCCATTCCGGCTCTCAATATCACATCATCACAAACCACACGGGTAAAATCGCAAGCAAATCTCTACAACTACAACTACAACTACAACTACAACAACAACAACAAACATTCCATATCTTTAGGGGGAGGAGGCGGTTTCCGGCGTTTTAAGACTCGGCGGTTAGAATACGTTTCCTGTCACCGGGAGGGAGAGAGTGGGTGGGTGGGTGGGGTGGCTAGCACACACTGGTTTCATATTGTTTGTTTACATACTAATATAATTCCCTGTTCTTGTCTGTCTCTCTCTCTCTCTCTCACTCACACACATTCTGCGCTGCGAAACATATAATCATTCACTTTCCCCCCTTCAAAAGAAAAGAGCGCGGGTATGTGGAATCGTCGGAATTTTCTTTTTTTTTTACTTCCTTTAATTTATTACTTTCCACACTCCTTTCGGGGAACAGAGCGGAGCAGATAGATTATGATGGGGGGTTTGGATTTGGATATACGGAAGCGGGATCCATGCCCCCGGTTGAGGCGCGGACCTAGCTAGCTAGCTAGGTACTGCTGATCCATTATAGCGGTGTTCTTCTATAGCGATGTGCTAAAATGTATTTGATGCTACGTTATAATGTTATGGGGTCGGACTGCGTAGTAATGACGGATGGTTGATGACGAACGAACGTGACAGACAGACAGACAGACAGACATCCACGCACACGGCAGTCGGAGCATACCACGCTTCCACCTCTCCCGTCTCCTGCACGCACTGACTGGCTGACCGGGGATGTTTAAGGATATGGATATGTATGTTATATTGCGGAGGAGTAGCAGCAGGTAACACCAGAACGGCAATGACAATGACCATGATACACGCGCTTATGTTTGTATGCGTAATTTGGTTTATTCTTATTGTTATTTTTGTCTACTATAATTTCCTACATCGGCTTTGGAGGGAGTGTGGAACGGAGTGTAGAAGGATCTAGGTAAGAAGCTAGCTACACAGCCAGACAGCCCATCCATACACGCCCGGGCCAGACAAGACGAGACAAGACAAGACGAGACAAGACAAGACAAGACTGTACACGCCGCATTGGCATTAGCATGGCTCGTTCGCTGAGTCTGGTACTATATTCGTGAGCAGGGAGACGAATGGATGGATGGATACTTTTGGCGACGAACGAACGGGCGTGAATTCTTGCTTGCGCTGATCCTATCCCCGCCCAGAGTACAGTTTACAGCACAGCACACAGCACAGTACGATCATCGATCTCTATTGCCATTTCCATCCCAACAGCCCTGCAACACAGCAAAACGAAATAGTCCTCTTTACGCGTCGATCTCACAAACAACAAGCAGACATTGCATCACGCCCCCCGCACGATGAGCTTCGTGCGGGGGGCACGACCGACGACGCATCCATCTATTACAAGGCTGGAGTTCCTGGTCTGATCTGCTCTATTCTCGCAGGGATTGCGTGGCTGTGTGGCAGGCAGGCAGGCAAGGAGGAAGTTCAAGGATTCAGGGGTCAGGGGTCCAGGAGGCCCAGGGATCAGGGGGGTAAGGGGGTGAACATCGGCGCTAATTTGTCGTCCATCGTCGCCTCTGATGTTTTTGCATCGAGCGATCGAGCACATATTGGTAGTGTACACAAATCGGATATACGGGTCTATGTTCTGTGCAGAGTGCCTCGTTGCGAGTTTACTAATTACCACGCCCGCCGGCTTCGTGGAGTGTGTGTGCCGTTCGTTAGTACCTACCGTACATACCGTACCTACGTAGCCACTTCCCGACTGAGCGAGGAAGACAGGACTAGACTAGACAAGACAAGACACAGCAGCCCGTTCAACGTCGCACGTACGCCATCACCCGCTGTCAGTCTGTCAGTCAGTCAGTCAGTCAGGCACTGCTGTGCCCCCGGCTGCTGTCGTGGAGTGCAGTGTTCCGCAGCCGTTGCGCAGCTCGGGGACGGGGGTTGGGGATATGCGCGTTTCGTTCCTTTCCTTTCCAGGACGGCTGGGACTGACTGGTATGTCAATACGCTGACGAACGAATATCCGATCTACGGCTTTTCGGCGTTGCTGTCATGTGTGTATGTGTGGGGACGATGGGTTGTAGTTCCTGTGAAGGTTTGCTTTGGGTGTGTGGAGAGTGTGGTCTGCATGCATGCATTAGTGGTAAGAGATATAGAGTAGAACGGATAGAAGAGGTGAGATGCAGCGTCCGATCGTGCCTGTTCAGCCTCCATCCGCATGTGCGTTCGGAGGGCGCTCCGTCGAGAGAGAGAGCCTGGTCTGTAAGGCACTCAATCGCAAAAATGCATAGGGCAGTCCTTGTATGTAATGTGATGTAGCAAGGGGGCTCATCTTCGGATCAGCGAAGATGCAGACGCCCCTTTTCACTTTCTTCAGCGCGGCCGCGGGCATTTGCTTGCTTGTTCTGTGCCGCTGGGGTGTCACGTTGTTGGTTAGGATTAACATGGAGGCTGCCTTGTCCCTGTGCTGGGTTCATCCTCCTCTTCCTCTTCTTCCTCTTTCCTCCTCCTCATTCAACGTCGTCGCCAGACTTGGTATGTTGTCTGCTTCTATCCCGGGTACTCGTACCTCAAGCATGTAAGCAAGGCTGATGCACGCCATCATCATGAAATAGCCACCACGCAGATCATCTCCCTGCCCCATCTTGCCCTGTCCCGTCCACAAACACAGTTCCCACTCATCGCGTGGTACACACCTAATCAACCAACCCCGAAACGACCATTCACCCATGCATATCCCGGTCCTGCCCTAGCGACCGTTGAGCGCGTGCCACCGCAGACTTTTGCACCTTTCCATTGCTCACTTTGTGCAACTCTCTCACCTACAGTCTAGGTCGCTACAGAGACCGACCATATTGATCGCTGACTCGTGTCGACTCCACCTTGTCCGTATCCGATTCTCTCGGGCCTTTGAGAGACGAGGAAGCCGGATTGTTGATTGCCAGAGGTAGACTGAAGTGAAGGTCAATTGGCACACGCATTTCCAGCACTCCCTACCCTACACCTCTGCACAAACTCACTGAAGCAACAACACATACTCCCCAATCCAGCCGCAAGTCTGCATCCTTACCCATCTTCGTCAAAATGTACAACCACCACCACACATACACACACAAATCCCGACTCCAACTCCATACAACACACAAACCCCAAACCCCACTCACACAAACACAGCCAGCCCGCTGTCAAAACATCCTTCCCGCACCGCGCCCACGCCACGTCCCCCCAACCCAAAGAACGATCTCGCCGTACACCCACACCACACCACACACCACACCGGCATCCGGCACGTTGCAAGGCCCCCCGCGCCCGTGCCCGCCCGGGCATCCTGCCTTTCCCCGGTTCTATACCACCGCCGTTGAAGTAGGCCCGAGTCAGTCTCTGGTGGGGCTAATGTGCGACATAATGCATGCATGCATGTAGGCTTGTTAGCATGGGGCGTGCTGCTGCGGACGTGGGTCCGGGGTGTGCGTGTGTGTGGGCGTGCGCACGGTGCGGTGCGGGTGCGGGCTCTTTGAGGGTGTGGGCTATTTATATACTATTTATATATATATATACATGCTGGTGAATAGATGGATGGTAAGGATGGACGGGATTGATAGATGGAGGGATGGCAGGATAGATGGACAGGGGGTTGACACAAGATAGGACAAGGATAGAGCAGCCGAGGCTACTGATTTACACCCGGCATGTGTACAGTATGTATAAGCAAGCCATGCTCTAGAAAGGGATGTTTTGGAAAGGGCCAAAGTGATGAGCGCTAGGGATGGGGGGGGCACGGGGTAGGAAGGAAGGGCAGGGGGCAGGGAGCAGGGGGGCTAGATGAGATGGATGGGCAAGGGTATTAAATGGTAGAGGGAGCCTAATCAGCAGCGGCCGAGATAGTGCGAAGAAATAGGTTCAAGAATAGACTTGAGATGGCAGTTAGTGGCTGTATTCGACGTTTGACGTAGAGGGATAGTTTGTTGTAGGAGGTCGACACGATGGTACTGCAGCGTAGCGTAGCATTTTCGGTTTTTCGTGTGGTGTTAGGGTACGGAGGTGCAGTGCGGTGCGGGATGATCGTCGTGTGTTGTTGATAGAAAGTGAGTATTCGGATTCGGGTCTGCGTGTGCGAGGTTTGTGGTTGAATGTGCATGCGCATATGGATGGGTAGATTTGAGTTCCTGGTGACTGGGAGGTGATGCCCGGCTGGGACGTGTAGTGCGAGGAGTGGAATAGGACCTGAACAGATCGACTTGGAATGTATCAAGACGACAATGCAACACAACTCGATGTGAACATGAGCTGATTACCCAGGCACCATTCCTCCACACATCCGTCTCGCTCTGACTTCGGCATCCTCATCCCTACTTCTAATAAATAAACATACACACACGACATACCTACCTGCCCAACCCCCATACCCCCAAACCTCCCCAACCACTAAATCCGTCAGTCCTGACTCTTAGCCGATTCCATTCCAGCCATGACTCTCCAAACCTGCTCAAGCCCGGACCCCCCCAACACTGACTCTCACAAAACCGTTCTCAACACTTGACTCTCAGACGCTCTCTCAAACCTGACTCTCAAACCCGATGACTCTCTCCACCCCCAACCCCAACGCCAACCGGACCGAAACCGAAAAAAAAATTCAAATCACAAAAGCTCAGTCCACCCGTTCGTTCGCCTCGCTAGTTCAGGTCGTTCGTTCTCGTTTCGTGCATCCCCGCTCGCTTTTCACCCCGTTCGTTCAATTCAATCTCGAGCCCCCTGTCTGGCATGACTGTGTATGGGCTCAGATACTTTATCGTGTATGTGAGCACGTGAGTATGTGAGCTTGTGAGTGATGATGATAGAATAATGAGCTATTCTCGCTAACATGGCTTGGCATGACTCGTCGTGGCGTGTTGTGGCGTACTATTTGATTTCTGACAAGCCTATAATACTCCTTCAAAGTGAACAAAAGGATGGCGTTCAATCAATCTTTGCTTGAAACAGAGTCGAAGGCTTTGTCGGAGGAAGTGGTGGTGGCGGTGCCGGCCGTGGCTGTGTAGGAGGATGTGAGACGGAAGACGTTTGAGAGGATTTGGGAGGATATGTGTGGCGGTGATTGGTGGCTGGTGCGGTGTTTTGGAAAGGTTTGGGAGGGATGTGGGATGTGGCTGGGGTATTTACACATTCGTGTATTTATGGAAAGGGTATTTTTGAAACCATGGGAAATTTAGGAGTTCGGATATTTGTGGTGGAAAGGGTATTTATTTTTGGATTCGTGTATGTTTGAGAACATGGAAGCTACTGTGCATCTGAGTATGTTTGATGTGATGTTTTTCGGAGATGTTGTGTGTCTGGGGCGAGTAGAGTCGAGGGAAATTAGAAAGGGGGTTTAGCATTAGGTCTGGAACTGGGATTGTTTGGAAGGGGACAGGAGATGATTGACGAGATCTATGTTTGCAGCTCAAGTACACAACGCGGCGCATTTCTCTGTGCAGTGTTTAGGTAGTAAGAACGTTGGTGTATTATATCTTGGTACATCGTGGTGAGTTGTAATTGTATATGTTTTATGTAATATGGAAGCTTTCTTTAGGGGTTTAGGAGTATCGTGCGGTTTTTGGTATTCTTTACGGTTCGCCTTTGATTTCGCGTAACAGTCCTTGATGAGCAAGACATTTTGTGTTTGCAACTCTCACGATCTCTGAACGAATCGATTGCTACTGGTGATGCATGAACAAGACGTCGTCCTATGCCACCGTGTTCGTATACAAGCAGCCAGGAATTTGACTATTCTTGCTCAGTGATATTCAGACTCATCAAGGTGAAGGACTTATGTGAACAATTGCATGGTACGATGGCAGCCAGGTGTTACCGGCTGAGTTATAGTCTAATGTTATGAAGATTGGGGCGAGTTTCTCACGATACGATAGCCGGCGTATAATTAGGGGGATTGATCTCTATACGACAACGTCATGATGCGTCACTGTGGAAATACACTCAGACATGCTTTGTTGCTAGGCTGACGCAGAAAGCAGGATTGATGATGAGAAGAACTGTCCTGTGGAGAACTCAAGTAAGTGTCAAGGTTACGGTCGCCCCAGCTGCAACGGTCCGTCGGACGCACAATCTGACCATAATGCCCGATTGTAGACGCGCGACTGCCCTGTCAAGCACCACAGGCCCAAAATATGCAGATTTGCTCATTTGACGCGCCAAGTAATGGACTTTGTACCAGTCAACAGGTTCAGCGAGCAGCCATGGATGTGCGGAGCTGATATCTGCGATGACCACTAGCTCGCACCAACTGATACTAAAGTGAGCGAAGAACAAGTCGTTGTTCGTCGTTCGGAATCGTGCTGAGTGTATGACCCCACCCCAACCATCATCATCGGGGTGCTCTATCCAGCTTTTTTGAAACTGCGGCTGTAGGGCACCGTTGGCATCCTGTATTATGAAGCTCGAGACCCTCCCGAGTCTACGTACGTAACACGTAATGGCCTCTTCACGCTCTTGGATATACACAGTCTGGTACTCAAATTTGGCAAGATCTTCATCACGAATGAAGACAATGTCGAGGCCTCGAAGACGACACCACTGATCTCCATCGCTTTCCAGCCAGAGACATATGTGGTGCCCTGTATGCGGGGGAACCAGGTCTATATCTACGTGTTCTTCAATCTCGTCTTCGTCTTTCTCCAATAGGACTTTTTCGAGATGAAAAATCATGTCAAAGACTCTGTCTCCATATACTCTCTGACGATGGATCCATACCGCAGTCGTCAGCTCTTTGGTCGCAGACAGCGGGAAGTGAACGAGCAACCCACCGTTATAGTACGCAAAGTCGGGCACTTTTAATACAGGCAGACGTATCTTGAGTCCACGATTGGTCATTTTTGGCGGCATTGTAGATAAAGTTTCCACTACTTCCGGGAATTGGATATCTGTGCTCGATACATCGGCGTAGCTTAGAGACTCCTGTCCTGTACTATTGTATCCAAACGCGTCAGGAGAATCGGCAAATGGGCCGGACGAGCTTCTTCGGTTTGTCCTGAAGTCCAAGATGTTCCATATGAATAAGGTGTAATCATCGGTGGTTCTCAGTATCTCCTCCTGCAGTCGGCGGAACGCCTTCGTCCCTTCTCCATACAACAAGGGCATGTTTATATTGAAGATACCCAGCAGACAATACGCAATGTCTTCGATTTTTGTTGTGGATCGACCCGCAGCCCAGGACAACTTTTGAGCCACGTTCAATTCCACTCCGTACCCGCGGATGATATTCAGTTGGATTCCAGTTATTGATGATATTTGAGATGCCAAAGTGGCCTTGGTCCCAATTTCACTCCAGTCTGGAGCGTACATCTCAATGCTGCCTGGAGCGAGCAGTTCTTGAAGCGTCCAACCGCGTGTGAACCAACGGCACTTTTTGAGGGAGTCTACATAAGCGTTTGGCGAGTCCATGTAGTCAGGTTCAGTGCAGTTCGGCGGATACTTGAAATCGTCGAGGTAGGCATAGCAGACATTCGCCTTCTGATACCAGGCAAACATCGAATTTATAGCCTCACCCAATTCCGCGCTACTTTTCTTGTCGATACTGACCCAGGCTCTTTTAGCTTCTTCTGGGCGGGAAAGAAAGGAAGGATTGCTCACCAGCAAGTGTCCATCCACACCCACTCAAACCCAACTTCTTTTGCTTTCTCACAAAAACCGTTGAGTTTAAGGAAGCCATTCTTCTGTCTGGCCTGGGTTTTGTCTTCTTTGATCAGGTCCTCGAAGGTAATTTCGCCTACGCCCCACGTGTGCGAAAGGATAGCATACGGCGGAGTGTTCTGGACTATGAACTCTCGAATCTCGAGCGTAAATGTGTTGAGCAGTCTCATGTTGACCTCAAAACCAGGTCAGTACAACTTCATAATCCAACGATGACGGTTTGAAGTAGGACGTGACAATGAGATGCCACCAGGCTGCCATGCAAGGCTCGGGTATCTCTCGGACGAAGTGACCGGCGCATCAACATGAGCCACCAACGTGTTGATAAAGAATATTGAAATTGCAAACATGTCCTGTGATGTTCTTAGGAGTACCAAGTCTCACCATGCGCTGTCGCTATGGATGTGTGAAGAAGTACCGATTATGTATGCTCCAGTTGGTCTCTCATTGGACCCTCACAAAACGCCCGCCAATAATCATGCCCACGAAGCGACACTCGTTTCTTCGTCTCTCATTGACATAAAAGGGAAAATTACAGAGCAGTCTTACTGCTCACCATCCGCCCGATCACTCTCCTCGAACACCAAGTCAACTTGCTTGACAGGATGCACTAGCATCGCAGGCAAGCACATTCTGCCCTCACCTTCTAATTCTTCTTGCTCGCCTCCGTCATTGTCAACCTTGTAGCCCATCCATCTCTTCCATAGATTGGGCGCAAAACCAGCATCGTAGTACCACGTAGTGCCCCTGAAATTGTGCTGTCTCTCATCGCTGAAAACAGACAGTCTTGCGCCACCAGCAGCGCCATTACGTCCTCCGTTGAAGATGGCCGCAAGATAATCCGTGGGCCATCTGCGGTCAATGTAAACTGGGTGTGGGGCATAGACAGCCTTTAGACCATGATGAAGCGCGGTCGACGCAGGCCACATCTCAGAGAACATAGTATGTCTCTTAAGTGAGGACTCTCGGTGCATGGTGTTTAGTAGGCGCTTGCTCAGGCGGCCAAATGTGATGATAGCGGTACGGCGTGGAGGCATCCCACGGGTAGTGTTGTAGCCTGTGACATCGTCTGCAAGAATCCAGTTTGTGCCATCAGGGTCGAAAATAGGATTGAAAGTGATGAGATCAGCATCTTCACCTACGCCCCATTCGTACTTATCACTCTTGAAAGTGACTCCTTCAGGTGGATTGACGTCATTGTCAGTCTCTAATTCATCGTCAAGGGGAGGTAGGGGACCCCAGATTGGATCCTCGGCTTTCCCTGGAGCCTGAGCATTGGCTGGTAGGTTTGGGTGATATTCGCGCAGCTTCTGGTACATGTTGCCTTTGGATCCCGTTCCATGCTCTGTCTGATATTTGACAAGCGTGTTGAAGTCATCCCATGAACCGTGTTCGGAAGGCACATAAAAGCGGGACGATCGCTCCCAGAGAAGCTTCCTGGGTTGCTGACGAGCCCACGCACCGACTTTATCGAGGAGATGATAGAAGTGACCGGTGTAGCGGAGATCCATTTCCCATTGCCAGAAGAAGTCATACTCTGGATGCTGGTGCGCGAAGTACTGGAATGGCATGAAAGTACTGCGGTATACACCGTGGACGGGAAGGTCTCTGTAGAAACTTTCTGCCAGACCACCATAAAGCAAGCCCATCTGTCTTTCAGTCCAGAGCGTGCCCATGCCGCGGAACTCTTCAGGGAGAGATTCGTTGAGAACACGCTGGTAAGTCTGGTCATCCGACCAGATAGGCAAGTTGTCGTCTTTGACATGGACTAGAAAATGGACAGTATATTCACCACCTGTCTGGATGGCGAGTTCGGAGATGACGGCTCGCAGGTACCATATATCTTCATCGTCGTAATTGTAGTCCCACCAGGTGCGGATTATGACGGCATTACGGGTAATCTTCTTATTCTTCGCAAGACGTTTTTCAACATTCTCTTCAGATGCGTGAGTCTTTTGAGTTTTGATCTCTTCTACCGTCTGTTCGCCAGTTTCTTTACCCATGGTCTCTCGGTGTGGCCCTCCAGAACCCATGTTGTAGTAGAAGTGGTTTTTACTTTGAGACATCTCTGCGAATCGATTACGATTGGCTGCTAAGCATCGATCCTGAACATCCGCCCAGTCAATGTTCCGATAGTCGACTTCAGAATCTTGTTTCCACACCTCTTCAATGCCCTCCCTATCTCCTGCCATTCCTGAGCCACTACCTCCAAGCTTTTTGCTGTAACCGTAGCCATAAGGACCAAGTCTGCCATAACGCTCAAAACAGACGTCTTTGTTGAGACCAAGAACGTCGTACGAGCCAATGACATTGTCTGGAGTTCCTTTGACCACGCCACTGTAAGCGTATAGCTGTGGGATCTTGACAGTGTTTTCTGCATCAAGATAACATTGTTTGACTGGGCCCCATTCGGCAACATACGCGTCAGACGAGTAGTCCGGGTAAGGATTAAACTTGGAACCATATTTCGTGAAGTCCCAGGTCTTATCCTCGACATTGTCGCGTTGTTCAATCCTCTTCTTTCCAGCATAAACGTCCGGAATGTTCTTGCCTTCACCAGGATACTCTGGCTCATTCTCTGACCTCTGTACCAATGTACGAATTCCACCATGATATCTCTTCAAGAATGGGAAGGCTTCCCAGACTATGGGTTGTGGTTTCGGTTTTGATAGACCTAGCGATACTGCTCTTGACGACGCCGCGCCTAGCTTGGTCAATGTTATGATGAACAGAATTATAAGACCACCGAGAACCAGCGAGAAGCATCTTGTAAAGGCGCGCGGGGAACGTATCCGCCATGCTCCTGACCGCCATCGAGGCTTCTGGAATCTTGATGGTCTAAGCATTGGCTGGTGTGAGGCGGAGGAGACACGAGATGAAACTGCGCACGAGGGAGGAGAGTCGTTGGAGTCGTTATCGTCAACTAATGGGCGTTTCTCGAGGTCGTTCCAAGCATCATCGATATCATGCGCCGAGACCTTCTGGTAGGATTGGCCCTTTCGTTTGGCGAGCCGAAGAGTGTTCATGTGTGCAGCAGACTTAAGCACGACATGCGCGAAGGGTTGTGGATGAAGTGCACGAATTGGAACGAGCGATTCAGCTTGTAGCTAATTGTTTGACGGCTCTGAAGAATGAGTGTCGGGTCGAAGCAGGTCTTGCGTTGATCAGAAGGTTGAAGTCCTATAAACAGCTTATAGAGATCAGAAATGTTTAGTAATTTGCGGGTGCCTGACGATATTAGTTATTAGTGTTGTTGGCCCCTATCGATTTCGACGGTTGGCCAAGTGATGCCCACGCGTTAGCAGAGCGATCCACATGTGCCCCCACAGTTTTAGTGTGGTAGACTGCATCATGATGCGCAGTATAGAGCACGAACTGCGTCTTCTGGAATCCATTGTGATATGCCATCTGGACAACCAACATATTTATTCACTTCCGCATATATACTAACTATGTCGCGCCATACAGTCATAGAAGATGCACTCGTGACCTCGCATTACGATCTGTTCCTGCGAGTCGATGCAGCAATTGGTAGACTATCTCACAGATCCCCTTAGCGCTTTAGACTATGCTGACCCTTTTTCATTGTAGAAAAGAACTCAGCCTTGAGACCTCTCTTCGAGGACCTGTGCGCATATATATATGCATTACAAAGCGAAATCCAGGTTGAGAAGCCACCTCTAAAGAAACGCAAACTGGATATATCGAGCGATGCGGCGAATGGTGACACGAAGGCAGCTGAAGGCACTTGGGCCGATATCAACGTGGCTCCCAGCTGGAAAATGGCAGATGTAAGCTTCTCCATACCACAGAGAAAGAAGCTGCACGTCGAGATTGTCAAGAAAGACTCGAAAGCTGGAGTGAAGAAGGGAGGCATACGGGGAGTAAATGCAGCAAGCAACACGGTTGAGTTCGGGGCCAATTGGGGCGAAATTGGTAAGATGATAGTCAAGATACTGGGCAGTAGCTTATAAAGATCTAATAGCTGCATAGATCAAGTTTTCTGCCTTCCTGTGCCAGAAAAGGCCAAAAAGCAACACAACTTCGTAGTCCTACCGCGCGGTGCAGATGGTATAACGCCAGCAGCAGAGGGGGCGGCCGCGCCAGAACCTATTGTATGGACGTATGTTGAACCGACTGGTAAGGACATCAAGGAGGGCGAGGATCCAGGCCCTGGGACGACGTCGAGAGCCATCGATCAGCATTTGGGCCTATACAAAAAGCAAGTCATATACCCAACAGATAAAGAGTTCTCGAGCAGTATACCCCAGCCGCACAGGAAAGGAGAGAAGGCATACCATGTGAAAGCTTTCAGGGGTAGCAAAGAGGGTGAGCGTTATTTGACTTGAGACTCGAAGCAACTACTGACTCGTACAGGCTATCTGTATTTTACTTCTGTTGGAATACTCTTTGGTTTCAAAAAACCGCTGGCATTCTTTCCATTTGATATGATCACATCTGTGTCATACACATCTGTACTCCAGAGGACATTCAACTTGAACATCGGAGTTACAGCTGGCGAACAGGAGCAAGAGATCGAGTTTGCTATGCTTGACCAAGCAGATTTCTCGGGAATCAATGAATATGTCCAAAAGCACAGTTTGCAGGACACGAGTCTGGCAGCCACACGCAAGGCCAAGAAATTGAACATCAACGGCCCACCGAAAGGAGGGGAAGAGACCGAAGTGCAGGAGGACGGTGCCACCGAGTTGGCAAAGGCTGAAGCGGAGCTCCAAGACTTGGAGGACGAAGAAGAGGAAGACTACGATCCTGGATCGGAAGGTGACAGTGATGGAAGTGGATCATCATCTGAGGAAGAAGATTATGATGAAAATGCGGGAGGGGACGAAGATGGTGAAGGCGCTGATATCATAGCTGAAGAGCTGGGTAGTGAAGCAGAAGAAGTCGAAATGAGCGATGATGAAGGGGAGTGATGATCAATCAAAACGTCACGTCTAGGATCGAATTCTCGAAAATGAATATCTGTAACCAAGGATCATTTCATTCTAGAAATCAATAATCCCGAAAACGCGTCACATATGTCGTCCGACCCTACTTCTGTCCTTCGCTAAATTGAAGATACGTGCTACCTGGCAGGCGTATCGGTAGAGCAAAGTTTCTGGGTATTACATGCGACCTTAACACATACCAATTGCGACGGCTCGATACGGCATAGATAGACAAGACTCATGATCAACTCCCAAGACCCTATATATGAGACCTCGACACGTACCTCCCTCTATATTCAACGGTTCACGAGCTTTCTTACACCTCTCTGGTCTCCTAACAAAGCTTAGAACCGCTGACGAAACGCCATCCAGTGATACCCCCTAAACCAAAGAGATCCCAACGGAAGATTCCTCAACGATTGTCTCGGCCAAGAGAATCTTACTCGCTCGTCCTTCTTCCACCTTCCAACGTGCTCGCGAACCACACCATGCCCACTACTCTGCTCTCTTCATGTCATGGAACACTATCATGCGATTCTGTCCAATCTTAATCCCGAGGTCTCCGTTGTCGACATCACCAAGCACAGTCCAACCATGTCAACCTTTATAGAAGCTGTATCAATGAGATCCAGATCAGGAATCTCGAGGCATGTCAACCCTAGACCCATGCATCTAGACCACCTCGACACCTGTCTCACCGAAACTATAAACACAAGAAGCTAGCCACAGAACCCCTAGAATCAACCCACCCTCTCCACCCGACTCGAGCCCTTCTCCATCAACGTAACAATCATAAACCGATCCGGCGTCGGACACATCCGCTCCACCCCAACCCTCACCGACCGCACCCCCAACCCCTTCATCTCCGCCCTCGCCCCAAACTTCTCCACCATCCGCACCGCCGCCCGTCCAAACGTCGTCCCCAGCACCTTCGCACTCGCCGCCTCCATCGCCTCGTCATACCCCGTATCCCCGCGCTTCTCACACCATATCAGATGCCCGTCCACGCCGTAGAACCGGCTCGCCAGATCATACGCATCCTTCATCGCGTCCGCAATCACATTGTTCATGATCCCGTCGTACACCATGTACACGGCGCGAAATGGCGCGTTGCCTGTTCCCTCCTTATCCTCGCCCCAGACGAGGCCGTGGAAGTAGAGGTCCTCGGAGTAGATCTTCTGGTCGTGCGGTGGCGGGGGCGCGTCGCCGGCGTAGCAGATCGTGATGAGGATGAAGGCTACGTTGTCGATGATGTTTGTGGTGTAGACAAAGTCGCAGGGGTGTGCGGCGCCGGTGTTTTGGATCTTGAAGCTTTTCCAAGGACGGGGTTGAGTGGAGAGGTTGATGCCGTGGCCGTCGGCTGTGAGGGCATATTGGAGCTGTAGGTGGGTGCCGCGAGTCAGTCCGTCGTGAGGTTGGAGGTCAAATGTGAAGGCGTAGGCTGGGTTCTGCTGTGTGGGTGCGTGGATGTGGATGGCGCCTTGGTCTGGTTTGGACGTGGCTGGGTAAGGTCCGAATAAGTTGGGATGCGACGGAGGGTATGGTGCGCGTGGAGGGGGCGTTTGATACTTTGGAGTGCGCTGCCAGAGAGAATACTTGGATGATCTTGGGGCTGGGCTGATGGCCTCATCTTGGCCTCTGTGGTTCGGCATGTTCTCAGGGGGTATGGGATTAAGAAACTGCTTTTCCAGCAGTTGATAGAGCGCATCTGAGGGCTTTCGCCGGGATTGTATGAGCGAAGAAGAATATTGGACCTTGCAAATGGGTACTTGACGTCAAACGAGTCATCTAGGTTTGAGTTTTTCCAAAGAATGTTTATATACTTCACTACTGCACGTGAAAACACCATCCGCCATAGTGAACAGTGTTGCCGGCAATTCCTTGGCGGGAATATCACAACCAAGCGGTACTCGCATGATACAGTCAGCCAATGTTTCCGGAAGTTGCGTGTACCATTAACAAAGCTTCTTAAGTCTCGCCGGTCAGGTAATCACCGTCATGGGACACCGGAGACACCCATACTAACTTAAGAACTTGACCTCCTCAAGCCCCGGACAGATCACTGTCTCCTCAGTACATCACCTCAGCACAGTGAACAATCCGCGAGTGAACAACGCCCCAGTGAACAACGAAAACAACAAAACAGACCTCGCCAGCAGCCCATTCCTCCTAATGCGCAAGTGACCATCAAACTTTCAATTTCTAGTCAAGCAAAGATGCTGCTCCAGCTTATTGACGTCACATTCTGACCTTTTCGTTGTGTTACCTGATTCCGAGTTACTGCTTTATGAATTTCCCTTATTTCTGAGTGGGACATATGCTAAGCTGCGGATTATTGATGTACAAGCCTCTTCTGGAGTCGAACTCTGATCCACAGGAGAGAACTTGTGTCCATAATGCCGCTGACTTGACGTAACAAGTGAGTACTAGATTCCTTAGCTGAGTGCCCCCCGTCTGAAAGCTCGATGTTGAGAGGTTAGGGCAAGTGCTGATAACTGTTCATATAGTCGAATAATGTTAGCTATTGAATAGTCTAGTAAAACATGTTATATGTCCTAGGATACCAGACTCTCAAGATGTCATCTCATCTCACCTCCCTAGGCACAAGATTCAGCGTCAGAATTACCTGTGAATCCTCTACGCACGACGAGCTAAGAAGCCCAGGTCTTGTCTGATATCTAAGACTCTACAGGGCTGAATCCAGGCTTCATATGTAACCGACACCACAGTCCTCTCATCAGTGAATCAGTCCAGGCTCTCAGTTCATTCCAAAAACGCTTCATTGATACGAAGACCATGCCCAAGTCGGTTGAACCATATCATGCTGGGTCTTTAACTCCATACGTACAGATGAGACTTTTCCTCAACTACATTGATCGAACCAAACATCCCTTGCAAATGCATTCGACCATCGAAACCCAAACATGCGAAGAAGACGATCGTCATACATGTCATCTCAACATCCACGCCATGCATCCAGAATCCACTACCGCCTACCGCCTACCTTCTACGCCACGCCATGCCGCGCCACGCCCTCTGACTCCACAATTACATTCAAGAGCTCTGCAACACCGCTTGCTTTACGCCCTCTGTGACCTCCTCGACAGCCGTCTTGTCACTTCCGACGCCCTGGTCCGTACCCTTCTCCGTGGCCTCGACACTTGGCTCCACACCGGCTTCCTGGGCAGCTTTTTGCTGCTCTGCCTTCTTCGCCTTCTTCCTCTCCTTGTCCGCCTTCTTCTTTGCTGCTTTCTCTGCAGCCTCGCGTTTTGCTTCGAGCGCGGCAGTACCGCCAAACATCTCGCGCCACTCCTTCTCCTTCTCGGGCTTGATCTGACTGAATAAGTATGCTGCTTTGCCAATGGTGTGGCCAGCGGGTATAGTATTTGGCGTCCATGTGTCCGGGATGATTTGGAGCGTGGACTGTAATTGCGAGAGCACGGAGGCTGTTGTACCGGGCATATATGGCTCGATGAGGCTGGCAAGGAGATGGACATGGTTGATGGCCAATCCCGCGACAGCGGCACATTTCTCTGGCTCGTTCTCGGCAAGTTTGTTGTCGATGCGGTTATCCTGGAGTAACTTGTTGCCAAGATCCGAGAAATGTAGAGCAGTAACGAGACCTGCGCGTAGCTTCACTGCCGTCATTTCTTCATTATACTGTGTGAGAATGGCATTCGCAGCACGAAGGTGCTCGGTATAGTAGTCGCCAAGAGCGGCGTAGTCAGCGTAGTCGGGAATCTTCGAGTTGTAGATCTTTGAGTTTACAAACTTGATGATGCGGTTGACGAAGTTACCGAGGTTCTTGAGGAGCTCGTTATTGTTGCTTGCAATAAAGGCGGTCCACTCGAATTCAGTGTCGCCGGTCTCTGGACGACGGGAAAGGAGGTAGTAACGCCAGACATCGCTTGAAACACCAGTTTCCTGAACGTTGTTGCCGAAGACGCCGATACCACGACTCTTGGAGAATTTTCCTCCTTCGTAGTTGAGATACTCGGTGGTGGAAAGATGATGGAGCTTTGTCCATGTCTCGCCCGTTCCTAATTGACATCCGGGAAAGATGACGGAGTGAAATGGAACGTTGTCTTTTCCTAGGAACTGATATAGGCGGACGTCGTCCGGATTTCTCCACCATTTCTCCCACTCGTCGGTATAGTTCGCAGTGATACTCGGGTACCCAATGCAAGCTTCGAACCACACATACAGGACCTTGTTTTCCAAACCCGCAACCGGCACTGGTACTCCCCATTTCAAATCACGCGTGATACCTCTTGGTTTCAAGCCCTCATCTAGCCATTTCTTCGTGATACTCCATCCATTTGCTGACCATGCGCCGTCTTTCGATGCTTTCTGGGACCACTCATCGATCATTGGTTGTAGCTTGTCCAGTAACAGGAACACGTGTGTTGTCTCTCTCGGCACAGGGCTTGCTCCGTCCAGTTTGCACCGAGGTTTGATTAGTTCTAGTGGATCTAGAAGCTTACCACACTTATCGCACTGATCTCCCCTAGCATCTGCGTAGTGACAAAGCGGGCACTCTCCTTCTACGAACCGATCTGCCAAGAACGATTCATGCTTTTCACAGTACGGTTGTATAGTGACCTTCTCTTCTAGGTAACCTTTATCCCTTAGCGTTAAGAACATGGCCTGAGAAATCTCTGTGTGCTGCTTGGTCGGGGTCTTGCCGAAGATGTCAAAGGCAATATTGAACCATTGGTAGACCTCAGAATGTATCTTGTGGAACTTGGCACACAGCTCTGCCGGAGTAACCCCCTCTTCAATCGCCTTTGTTTCGGTCGCAGTACCGTATTGATCCGTTCCGCATACGTAGAGGGTCGGCCAGCCGCGGGCTTTGCAGTATCTGTGGTAACTTCAGCTTTGCCAGGCGTGGGAAGCTTCGGATTGTGAACTGACCTGGAGAAGACATCGGCCGATAATACACTTCCAATGATGTTTCCCAGGTGAGGCGTGTTGTTCACGTAGGGAAGAGCGCTCGTGATAAGGATATTCCTCTTCCCTGGTTGAGGTAGGATCTTTTGCTCGGTCGCCGCCATGGCGCGATGAAGCTCAGAGGCTGGAACGGAGATGTGAGATATGGACTGGAATAGGGTGAATTGAAGGAACGAAGATTATATATTTCTCTGTCGTGTGCCCAGGGAATGCGCAGGTCGCGTGCACGGTAAGTGAGTCTGACAACTTCGGCTGTTTCGTGAGTCAAGATCGTGAGTCAAACTCCGGTCGGCCATTTTCAGAGCTGCCCCTCGCATCCCCACGTTTTGGTTGCCTCAGGCACCAATCCCGTCACGATACTCCAGGGTCCAACGACTCCCCTGATTCACACATCACTCTTGATCGTTGATTCCAAGCCACCCTGAGCTCCATGTTTGATTTTGACTCAACTATGCTATTCAATGTACAGAACTGACCACCGCCTTATGTTTAGAACCCTTGTCTTTCCTTCTTCCCCTATCACGACCTTCTCTCGTTGTGGACTATTAACGTTGCGCCATGAACGAAGCAAAACTATCAATTATATCGATCTCACATCCTCTAACCAGAATGATGTGCTCGCTGTTATCATTCACTCGACGTTGGTAGCGCTGTGAAAGCTATTATCGTACAGATTGTCACTGAAGCGAAAATCGGTCTCTTCAAAATCTGCTCGTATTTGGAGCAACCTGTGATTAACCATATATGTGGAACGGCAGGAGTAAGTAATTGCAACATATATCCACGAGGTTCATCCGATATCACAATGCCTGACATGCTAATGCTCGATCCGCCTTATCAGCCACGTCCAAGCACGGGTGCCATAACGGTTTCGAATGACTCAGTCCTCACCGAGAGCCTCCGCGTTGGCAGACTGACGGAAGTAAGGATGAGCAAGGAGAAATTCAAAGATACGGTGAAGCGTGTTATGTAGTGTACACATCTACAATCCATGGCAAACATAAATCCCTGCATGGCAAACTCGGTGTTTTCGGCCTAGCGCACAGCGAACCCCCTTTACATGTCATTCGTGAAGCAACGCTTCACACTCCATCATCGCCTTCGAGATATTCATCGCTTCCCAACCATGATACATGTGGAGTCATTTCTGCAAAGCGAATTCCCCGGTGGTCTCGTGCGTGATCTAATCTTACATCTCCAGTATATGTGCGATTCAATGCCTCCAGCCCCTTTCTCGACATGGACGACCTTAGAACAGGTAGGTCAGCCTCAGACGTCACTTACATGGGACTCTATTCGTACCATCAGTATGTATTACGGGAGGACCTCAAGTACCCAAAGATTACGATACGCCGAGCAATACTAAGACGCCAGTGATCCTTACCTGCAGGATCCGCATCACGTGGGATTAAACGAGTTTACCTGCTGGAAACGGCCTTTGTTAGCCAGTATATAAGCAAGAATCGATATTTCTCCTTGAACCAAGAACTTCAAGTGCTCTGAGAGTCAAACAAGGCAGTTCTGTCTAATATGCGGCTCTCCGCTCTCTCGCTGGCTCTCCTCGCTCTGCCAGCGACGGCAACGAGTAACTGCTCAGACGCCCATAGCAAGCTTACTGTGCGGACATCGACGGGCACCTTCACTGGTCTTATCGACTCCGAATATCCCAATACACGACAATGGCGAGCAATACCATTTGCAGAGCCTCCTGTCGCATCCCGCCGCTGGCTTCGTCCGCAGAAACTCCCCCCATCGCCAAGCATACATCGCTACTCCACAAAGTTCCCGCCATCCTGTCCGCAATTCGTGACCGCAGTGGAGTCAATGTGGAACCTGCCCCTGACCAAAGGTAACTTGATATACAATGGCGCCCAGAACGATACATCCGGGCTCGTCGGCGAGGCAACGTCCGAAGATTGCCTATATCTCGCAGTATGGGCACCGACAAAGGCGCCACCTAAGAACGGCTTTCCAGTCCAATTCTTCATGACCGGAGGCGGCTTCGTAATAGGCGGCATCGAGCTCCCATGGCAGATCCCAACGACGTGGGCCGAGCGGTCTCAGTCTTCCATCATCGTCACCATCAACTACCGCGTCAACATCTTCGGCTTCCCCAACGCGCGTGGCCTAGCCAGCAATGATCAAAACCTCGGCATCCTCGACCAACGCCTCGCTCTCGAATGGATCCGCGACAACATCGCCGCGTTCGGAGGCAATCCAACGCGCATCATGCACTGGGGCCGCTCGGCAGGTTCCATCAGCGCCGACATCCACGCCTATGCCTACCACGCAGACCCAATCGCGCAATCCTACTATCTCGAGTCCGGCACCGTTTCTTCCGGTCTGGCGGAGGACCCCACGCACTCAAACTTTAGCTTCGTAGCGCGACATGTTGGCTGCGCAGCGCCCTGTGGCGCTGCATGTGAGGACGAAGACGGTGCCGCAGAGCTGGACTGCATGCGTCTGGTCTCGTCCGCTCAGATCTCGAACTTCATCGGCCGGTATGGCGACCGGGCGGAGCAGCCTGCGCTCTCGTTTAGCGTTGTTCCCGATGACCGGATCGTGTTCCGCGACTACGAAGCGCGAGCCAAGGCAGGTAAGCTTGCACGTCGACCAAGCATGATATCCTTCACAGCCAACGAGTTCTCCTCATTGGCGCCGTGGCCAAAAGATAATCTGACCGAGGGCCCGTGGCAGGCTGCCGTCACAAGCAGAGATATTGCCGCGGTGTGTACGATGTTAAACGCAACAACACGTCGGAACCAGCTTCCCGATGCACCAGTCTTTCGATTCCAATACGCCGGCGTCTTTCCCAACTTGAATGTGTATGACTGGCTTGGCGCGTACCATAATAGCGAAACGCCAATGGTGTTTGGCACATACGGACTTCTGGACCATGTAGCTAATACCACAGACTTCCAGGTTGAAGTCAGCCAGTCGATACAGGACCATATCATGAGTTTCGTCAAGGACCCATACAATGGGCCCCAGAAAGCCTTTGGCTGGCGGCCTCAAGTTGTGAGTGAGCCGAATGGCGGTGATATGCTGCGCTTTGGTGCCAATGGCAAGGCTGTGCAGCATATCGATGGTATTGAGGTGGATGGAGTGTGTGCGGGAGTACGTGAATATGATCCATTCCCGTGAACTATTTGATTAGCATTTTTGGGGGTTAATCGTGGTTCCCCCTCTTATGAATGGAACATAGATATATCTCAATTACAAGATTTCTCAGCAGGGATGTCATAACGAACACGTCGTGAATTCGAACAACATGTATTTTGGATGCTATGTGATTCTCTATACATCGATCGCTACCTGATGCTCCGTGCCGAAGCTGTAATTACTTGAAACTATGATTGCTGGTTAGTCGTATTATATCAGGGCGTATATGAGGCTGCATAGGATCTTGAAAGAGGGACCCGAGATACGGTGGGCTTGTTTGGCAGTGAAGCGGGCTGTAACAGATTCAAGGTGGGAAAGTGCTGGAAGGGCTGCTTTAAAGACGCGTTCTTGACTTTGTATAGTATTACTGAACGCACAACGTCTATACTCTATACATGACGTGAGAAAGACCCGCTTGACGGACAACATCGTCCACCTACGCCGAATCAAGCCCCTGCCCAAGACACATTTCAAAATAAACCCCCCTCCGCCGAATCAGCTCCTCATGTGTTCCCCTTTCAACAACCTTGCCCTTGGCAAACACAAATATACAGTCACACCCCTTGACCGTACTCAAACGATGCGCAACCGCGACCTTGGTACAGCCTTCACTGCCCTTCTCCAACGCATCCTGGACAATCTTTTCGCTCTCCGTGTCAAGCGCACTTGTCGCCTCGTCCAGCAACAACAGCTTCGGCTTACGTATCAACGCTCGCGCGATCGCAATACGCTGTCTCTGTCCGCCAGACAGCTGCGTGCCACTCTTTCCACACAACGTACGCAGTCCGTCCGGAAGTGAGGCCGCGAAGTCGTAGATATTCGCCTTGCGACACGCGTCTTCGATTTCAACCTCTGTTGCGGTGCCATGGCTGCCGAGTGCTATGTTGTCCGCGATCGACATGCCGTACAATGTGGGCTCTTGCTGTACGAGCGCGATGTTAGTGCGGTATGCACGCGGACATAGTGTGCTGATGTCCTGCTTGTTGAAGAGGAAGCGGCCGGAGGCAGGGTCGTAGAAGCGTTCGAGAAGGGCGATCATGGTCGTCTTGCCACAGCCCGAGGGGCCAACGAAAGCAATTGATTGAGAGGGTCTTGCAGTTGCAGAGACGCCCCGGAGTACGGGGATGTTGGGACGTTCGGGGTATGCAAATTGGATATCTTGAGCCTGGATGGATGCGCCTCTGCACTCATCGGTGGTATCGGAGTCTGTTGGCCCGTAGTTAGGACCTATTTCGCGGACATTTGGAACCTGGGCGTTGAGCCAGAAGATATAGTTGGCCGAGGTAACGGCCTTTGTAATACTGGTGGAGTATGAGAAGAATTGTGCTGCTGCTTCGCCTGAGAAGAGCACAGAGAGGAATGCAATATAGAACTGCTGGAGGTCATATTCCCCGAAGGAGATAAGTCTGGATCCATACCAGAAGCCTAGTGCCATGGCGAGAAGATTGACTGCCTGAGATAAGGAGAACCAGAACATGGTCCAGAGCAGGAATTTTGCGGAGCGCTGCTCGATAGAAGCAAGGCTATCTCGGTATCTGTCCAGAATTGTGCGCTCGAGGGCAAGTGATGCCACAGTTCGGATAGCAGATACAGACTCAGCAGCCAAAGCAGCACTGTCTGCAAACCGTTGTGTGATTGCATCGTCAAGGGCGAACTCCAGTCGAATCCGAAGGTAGCCAAAGAAACAAAGTGCGGGGAGCGCACCGAACACAACGACGAGTCCAAGTCTCCAAGCGATAGCTATGGCAAGGATGCTACTGGATACAACATTGACCATAGCCACTATGATAATCCCGACATTCATGGAGAGCAGCTCTTGAACATGTGTTGGTTGGCTTGACAGCCGTGACACGATTGCACCCACGGTGTTTTCTGGCTTGTCAAAGAAACTCATGTCCTGTCTGATTGTATCATGAAACATTTGTGAACGATAATTGTATGTGAGAATCTTTCAACGATCGTTAAGAACAACTTCTTGCAGCGGAATCCGGATTACTCACCTGGGAAATTTGATTTGTCCACCAACCCATGCTGAAGTAAGCCAGCAGAATTACTATGGCGACAATGAAGAACATCAGTGCGTAAAAGTCGCCCTGGTCGACCATTTCATCTGGCGGTAAAGTGAAAGCAGTTATGCTCCTAGCAAACAGTATGGCTAGCGCCGGGTACGCGAGACCTAAAGTACACATCAGGTACGATCTGCCTTACGAAGATGGCTTGTGCTTACCACCGAGTGTACCATCAATAAGAACGAGGAAGAATAACAGCCACAAAGATCTCTGCTGCTTGATGATTAAGTAAATGCATTTTAGCAGTCCATACCCCATACTCCTTTTCGGCGTTGACGGATCATCGGAAAAACTTTCGACTTGGACTTCTGTAGTCTTGGTTCGGAGCAGCTGCATGTTCTCTTCGCCGCGGCGGATTTCTTCGTCATCAGTAATGAGTCCACCGTCATGTTTTTTGCCGAGGTCTTGTGCTTTGACCAGACGAGCATATGCGCCATCAGGGATCTCCAAAAGCTGGTCATGCGTGCCTTGTTCGATGATCACTCCCGCAGACATCACAGCAATATTGTCTGCCTTTCGGACTGTGGAGAGCTTATGGGCAATGATCAAGGTGGTTCTTTGAGCGGACACGTTGTCAAGTGCGTCCTGTACGACCGATTCCGCCTTCGGATCGAGCGCAGAAGTAGCCTCATCCAGTAGTAGCACGGTTGGATTGGATATGATGCTTCTAGCGATGGCTATGCGTTGCTTCTGTCCACCAGAGAGTCTACCAGCCCTCTCGCCAACATGGGTATGGTATCCCTGAAAGGGTCAGTGGGGAGATTTCGAGAAGTTCTTGCGGGGGACTACCTCTGGGAGCGTTTCAATAAAGTCATGAGCGAATGCGGCTTTGCAGGCACTCTGGACAAGCTCCATCTGCTTTTCCTCAGAGGCTTTATACCATTCAGTACCAACCAACCCATAGCACACGTTCTCGAAAATCGTCACATTGAACAATACAGGTTCCTGCAGCCTGTTAGTCAAAGACTTGGACGCATGGTCTGTCCGGAGACGTACTTGTTGTACAAGCCTGATGTTTGTGCGAAGCCACTCAATGTCCAGCTCTTCGATGCGACACCCATCAAGACTTATTGACCCTTCGATTGGATTATACCATCGCTCGATCAATCCAATGATAGTGCTTTTTCCCGAACCACTTGCTCCAACTAATGCAGTAGTCTTCCCAGCAGGTAGCGTGAGGTCCATCCCCTGGAGAACGTGAACATTAGGGCGGCTGGGATAGGCAAATTTAAGCCCTTTGATATCAATTGTACCGTCACATTTTGCTGGTCTTTTACCTGAATTGGATAATGCATCTATGGATGGCTTTCGGTCGATGACTTTGAACAACGCACCCGCCGCAGAAGCCGCTTTGGAAAGATGCATCAGCTGGGGAGCAACTTGGGTTATGGCCGTTGCCGCTAGTATTACTGCAAAAATGACACTGTTGGCCGTCAGAAATGTCTTGGGAGGTCTGAGAGGACTGAACATACGTTACTATGCTGCCTGGTTGTGACGTCTCTCCACGAGCGTAGCGCCTGATCCCTTGCCAAAAGGCGAGTCCATAGCCTGCGTATATGCAGAAGAATTCGACGCAGTAGTAACAGGCGATATTCAGAGACTTCTTCATTCCTTCTTTTCTGGCGCTGTCTAGCAGCGAATTGTATCTCCCACCAAGTGCTGGGTGTGCCCAAAATGCATGAACGGTTCGCATACTTGCTACAATCTCCTCGGCCACTTGGCCGGCGGAGGAGTAGAACGCTAGGATTCGCCCTTCCTGGATCGTCTCGACTATGACGCCGACGACCATTGATATGACAATAGTGGGTACAACAGCCAACGTGATGCCGGTCAAGGTTGCATCCACAACGAAGGCGATAACAAAAGCAGCGACGAAGGTGGCGACCCCCTGGATGATGAGACCAACTTTCTCTGATATACCAGTATTGATGAGATTGCCGTTGGTTGTGACCTGAATTGAAATGGAGCCATTGCCTTCCTCGTCGAAGAATGCAATGTCTTGCCGTAGAGTTTGCTGGAGGAAGTGGATGCGGAGTGCTTTGGTTGTTCGAAGGGCCGCAAGGTTGAAACAGAGGCTCCAGACATAGGTAAGGACAAACTTGGCAATGAAGAGGTAGATGAAGTAGAGTGTCCAGTCGACGGACCTCGATCGAAACTCTGCAGGGCTGATTGCACCTATGCCGAAATCGTTGAATGTTGTGACAGTTTTGCCAAAGATGAGGTCCATCAAAGGTAGAACACTGCCTGAACCTATGGCAGCAAAGGTGCCTAGTACGTTCAAGAACCAGCTGAATCCATCTGCGTAGGAAAAAACGCGCTGATATCTATGTAAACAGCTGAACAGTGGACAATACATCACGATGTTACTCACTAGGTAAGATTTGAAACCCGCAGCTCCATCATCGGACGATATCTCGGATATATCCGACGAGCTTCGAGCTACACTCGATGACTTCTCAGTCGAAACCATGTTTGCTGCTCTCAATCCCGCGTGCTTTCGATTGATGACAATATACCCAGAAAGACAGGTGAAATTGTCGAGGGTAGAGATAGAAGTTGAATGTTCCTGCGTACAGAACGGAGAGGCGCTGGGTTATGGGTCTTCAGAGTAGATCTTATAGCCATGGTGCGCGACCTTATGCTTCAAAGCAGCAGCCCTTCCAGACGGGCCAAAGAGGTCGCTGACAAGATCGGCCTGGCTGGACTTACGACACAAGCACCTACATCATACATCGAGGAGGACTTAGAAATACAGATTGAACGGCGGCCGTGGACACCGAGAACAACATATTGAGCGTCAAAGGAGGTTGTTTCGATTCGGAGCCATGACGTCCTACATTTCCTTGGCGTTCACTCCTTCCGTATGTGCTGCAGGAACCATTATCATCTCCATCTCGCACCATCTCCGGCTCAACCGTCCTGTAAGTAAACCCTAGATGGCCGTAATATCATGATTCGAGACTGCAGTGTCTTTGTAAACTAATGCTCTGGCCATATGGAAGAAGGAGGCGTAACTGCTGAGTCATCAGGGTTCCACGGATCCCGAGGACTCCGAAATCTCTTAGAGCAATGGATTCGCCTACTCCTCTTCAGCCTCCAGCAAATTTCAATACCGGGATAATCAATTCCCAATCATTTTCATTTCACCTTGCTCTAGTTTCTGCTCTGAACGCTCTCCATGCCAGCACAAGACGCGGGCAATCGGGTCGCTACAAGCCCGTCGCCATTTTTCAAACGAGCGGTAAGTGTTTTTGGCTTCATGCCTGTGCTACCATGGTGACACATATATGCTGACATATCAGCTATAGTGCAATGCCTGCAGAGCAAGAAAGGTGGGCGTCTCCTCGTGAAGCGAGGAGTCATCATTAACCATATAACTACTCAGGTACGCTGCGACAAAGCATCACCATGTTCGTCATGTAAAGCGTCGAACATCCCATGTAAAACCAGTAATCCCGAGCCCAAAGCTCCCCGAAAACGACTCCATGTAACTGAAGAATAGTTGGTGGTGACTCCTGTGTGTCTCAAGCAGGGTTGACTGATAGGCGCAGTGAGAGAAAAATCGATTTCATCCAGGAGAGGCTAGCAGACCTCGATCATGTCTTCCACTCTGGCGAGAACACCAGATACCCTGCACCATCTTCATCTTCTTCTTTGACACAAGTACCCAAGACGTCTCCGCGTGCCGTATCCCGAGCCGCGTATGCATCCCCTTTGTCAGCTGATGACCTCACCAAAGAAGAGAGACAGGCCTATGAAGGCGAAACATCGATGCGTGCTCACTCTGCATATGCTCGTGACCTGCTCGAGAAAGCAGTTCAAGAAGATCCCTTTGCTGCAAGTAGCCCAGCCATGTCTTCAGCCTTGGCACATCTGCGACAACTCTCAAGCCGTCATGAGCCCACACCGGGTACAGTTCCACCTGCGAGACTAGGGGGCGACTCTCGATTTGACTATCGGCGACTAAAATTGCCACCGACGGATGTGGTGTTGAATCTACTACGGCAAGCCAAAAGTACAATTATGCCATCATACAAGCTTCTGATACCTGCCTGACATGTCCGACTTTAGTATCCCCGACTCTTACTTTCTTGGATCCCTTCGCCGTCTTGGATATCGACCAGCTTACAGAACTGTGTAAGGATGTCTTTTTCTGCCTCGATAACTATCCCACGTCAACAGCAATACTGGTTTTCGGTCATCTCTACTGGCTCGGATGCGACTCTTCTGGGGGGAGGCTGGGCTACGATATTGAGCGGGGGCCACAGAGTTCTCTGTGCAAAGACAACTTGGAGATCGCGCTGTCCAACCTCGAGGTACTGTCTCCCGGAAACGAGAATCTCATATCGGCTCTTCTCTTCGGAGCATGTTACGCCATCGAGACCTGTAGACCGACCATGAGTTGGAAGTTGACAGCGGCCGCAGCTAGTGCTGCGCTCTCAATGGGCTGGCATAGAATGTCCGAAGATGACACTGACCAGCAGAGGCGACGCAAAGCACAGATCTTCTGGTACATCTATGTCATGGACAGGTCGATCTCGCTACGGTTTGGGAGAGCAGCGATTCTGCAGGATTATGACATTGATGTCGACCTGCCAGACTATGGCAGCTCGCCTGTGGCTCAATACAGTACCAAAGTTGTATGCTTATGGATTCGTACTGCCCGTGTTCAAGGCCGGGTATACGAGCAATTGTACAGTCCTGCTGCGCTCAAACAAAGCAGAGAGGTACAAAAGAACCATGCGAAGTTACTCCTGCATGAGATTGAGACAGTACGGGAGGAAATCCCTCAAGTGAGTTCCGCTGACAAAATTGATGAGCTAAATCTAAGATTCCACAGCTGTATCAGCACCACGAGAGTCTGAACCTGCCCGACACAATTGCAGGCATACGTGCGGTGAAGCTTCTTTGTATCTCTGACGAGGTAGTAGTCAATGTGGTGTGCTGCATGATTGCTCGAAGCTCCAGTGATGCTGGTCTGAGTCCGGATTGCTTAGGCTATGCCAGAGCTGCACTCGCACTCCACCAGAAGGCTGCTGACAGTTATGTTGACATTGGAGAAGACTCCTGGTCCCTTTACATCCACTGGTATGTTCAATGATCGGATATCACTCTTGCATGAGCTAAATCCATTTGCCACAGGACCATCCTTCAAGCCCCCTTCGTGCCCTTCATCGTCCTATTCGGGAATGTTCTCAGCACCCAAGATGCAGGTGACCTCCAGCGCATGGAGAAGTTTGTTCAAACACTTGCGATGGGCCAGACTACGGAAGGATCACGAAAGATGCATGCACTGTGCTCAACCTTACACCAAGTCGCCAATCTATATGTCGAGGGTCACTCCCAGTCCAACACGCCATCATCGGCCCCAGACCAGGCCGTAAACATTAGTTCTCAAGCGTGGAGCGCACTAAATCCATACTTGAACACCATGGGGTTCGCAGGAGGCCCAAGTGTAGACAGCAACGTCGTGATGAACAACAGTATTGGCGACTGGTGGAATGGAAACCAGTATATGATGGGGCTGCTCGAGGATGACACGCTGGGCTATCTCAACTGAATTATGAAAGTCTTTGCATCGGGCATATGCTAGCCCGTTAGCAGGTGACCGCACCCCTAGGATGTTCATTTTATGCCGTTAAAGCGGGTGCATGTACTCGGCTTACTGAAGCTATGTCCAGCTGTACCTATGTACGAGCTGTTTCACAACACGACGATGCTAGCTCGAGAAGACTTGACGCAACTCATGGGTAAGATAACTACTCAGCGCCGTATATCCTTCAAAGCCACCCACAACTCAGGCTTCATCGTAGAATGAAACACCTTGGGCGGCTTCAACACGCCATCCAACCCCCAGACACGATTCCGATCCACAAACAGTCCCCTATCAAGCTCAATATCAAAATTCCACAACAGGTGCGCCACCACAAGCTGCATCTCCATGTACGCCAAATTCTTGCCCACGCAGACCCTCGGCCCGTTCCCAAACGGCACCGACGCAGCAAGTCGGTCATTGGCAAACCTCTCGTGTGTGCCCAGCCACCTCTCCGGCATAAAAGCGTCTGGCTCGTGGAAATTGAGAGAGGAACGAGTCGATGCCCAGGGCGATACGGCGACTGTCTTCCCCGCGGGGATGTGGTAGCCGTCGATCACCGCTCCGCCTACCGGCACAATCCGCTGCTGACTCGCGCCCGAGGGAGGGAATAGCCGGAGTGCCTCTTTGATGGTGGCTTCGAGATAGCGCAGATGGCGCACATTCGTCCATATGATCGCCGTTTCATCGGCGAGCGCGCTTCTGATCTCACCCGTCAAGCGCGCGTACACGTCTGGATGTGTGCATACGAAATACGTCCAGCCGGCCAATGCCGTCGCCGTGGTGTCTGTGCCCGCGCTGATGAAAAGGCCCATGTTAAGGATTACTTCGGTGTGCGAGAGGCTTTTCTTCGACTCGCTGTGCAGGATTTGGTATGTGAAGTCCGGATGGTCGCGGTCTGGGTCGGCGAGACGACGCAGGGTTTTCTCCTTGGAGTTTGCGAGGTGCGTGAGCCGCCATTCGGCTGCTCTGCGAGGGATGAGGAGCTTTGTGAGGATTGTCTCGAGCGTGGTGCCGACGCCCGTGATGCGGCGGATGGCTTGGGTCCAGGTTGCTGCGACGAAGACCTTGATGACGGATGTGGACCAGGATGTTGCGGAGGCTTGGTCGAGGCAGCCAAAGGGCTCGGCGAAGCAGAGGTCGCCCATGATGTCGAAGGCGAGGTATGTGTACCAGTCAGAGAAGTCGAGGGGGCGGGCTCCATTAGCCGCATCACGCAGTACATTGATCCATTTGTGTATATGGCGCCGTACTATGCTCTCGTGCTGGAGTAGGGCGCTGTTTGTGAAGATGTACCCTATTGCCCGACGCTGTCTGGTGTGTTCTGCGTTCAGTGCAAGACTCACACCGGTCTCTCCGTTGACTTGTCCCACCGCGCCAAGAAAGATGGGACTCTTCTCCATTAGACCTGCCTTCTGTATTAGAGGTCAGTGTGCATGACTTGGTATGACGATGGAACATGGTCATACTCGGTGGCCATATATCTCGTCCCGCGCCTCTACGCTGACAAAACTCAGCTCGTCAGGCGAGACGCGAACCACAGGGCCATATTTCTCGTGCAGAGACCGATAGTAAAGATGCTGCTCTCCGTTGACGAGGTGGAATGCAGCTGGTATTTCTGAAATGCTATTGAGCCACGGGCCTGGTACATGACTGAACGGGTGGAAGAATCGACGTTGTATCGCTTGCGTAAGGATGTATCCGATCAGCTGCCGCCGTTAGCACTGCATAAGGCAGACGAAGACGCTCTTACAAGCGCCACTGATGTTATGCCGAGCACTGCTGCTGGAGACTGAAGGAGGGCATCTGTATACATGCTTTGTCACCTAATCAATATAGCGAAGAAAATGCGATGTCAGGGACGTGTCGGAGATATAAGCATTCGCCGATCCCGGATAAGCATATTACAACCGGGATTCCGTTTTCGGCCGAGATGGCTGCAAGGGCCTATGCACGCATCCCGGGCTGCTCCCCCTGGCCGCATACATCTGCAGAAGTCATGTAAATAGACAATTGGCCAATAGGAAGCACGAGAAAGAAAATCCAACGTTGGGGCATGGGAAAATAATACACTGGAAAACATAACAAACAAGCCATTGTCGGACTACACTCCCCTGAGCACCACCTCAGTCCGGACGCCTTGCGCCCACGGTACACGCCCCACTCCACCCCCCGCCCTTAAACTGACCTTGTGTGTCACACAACCTGCTCAAACTTACTCCTCTGACCGATACCCTTGAAACATTCTCACTCATGCCAAAAGCTCTCTAATACCCACGTGCTCCAGTCCATCCCATGTACAACATTTCTCCTCACCTTCAAAACAAACACATTTCACTTCCCAATTTTCCATCCCCCCGACACAATCATATACATCCACCTCCCCCCAGCACACACAAAACCCCCCGACAAACCCAAAAAAAATGACAACCCGCAACGACACCCCAGCCCTCGCATCCGGCTACACAACCCGCAACACCACCCAGTTCAACGCCGCCCTCTTCCTCCTCTCCCACCTGCCCATCCCGCCCGCCGCCACCGTCCTCGACATCGGCTGCGGCCCAGGCAACCTCGCCGCCCACATCTCCACCCTCACCAGCCCGCCCGCCCACGTCACCGGCATCGACCCCTCCACCGACCGCATCGCCCTCGCCACCCAAACCCACGCCCACAACCCCCTCCTAACCTTCCACGTCGGCATCGCAGAAGACCTCTCCCGCTTCCCCGACGCCGCCTTCGACATCGTCTTCGTCAACAGCACCCTCCACTGGGTCGCCGACCAGGCGCGCGCGATCCGCGAGTTCGCCCGCGTCCTGAAGCCGGGCGGGCGGCTGGGCGTCAGCGGCGGAAGCGGCGACTTCGAGGCTGCGCATGAGCGGATCAAGGCGCGGGTTCTTGCGCGTGCGCCGTATGCGGCGTTTGAGGAGGTTGGGGGCCCGCATTTTCTGACGCGCGGGGAGATGAATGGGTTGTTGGATGGGGGCGGGTTTACGGGTGGGAGGGAGATGTGGGTTAATCGGATTGTGGTGGAGAGGGAGGGCCCCGGGGAGATGGTGGAGTGGTTGGATACGAGTAGTTCGGGGCAGACGTATGGTGGGGTGCCGCCTGGGGAGTTGAGGGAGAGGTGTAGGGAGGAGATGAGGGTGGAGTGGGAGGCGGAGAGGGAGGCGGATGGGTGGATTCGGATGGGGATGGAGTTGTTGGTTGTTGTTGCGGTGAAGGGGGAGTAGGAGGGGAGGGGCGTGGTGTGGTGTGGTATAGCTAATTAGTGTGTATAGCTGGTGTGTACACGATTATGAATATACATGTATGTATGAATGTATGTATGTACATATGCAACCCGCTCCCTAAACAACCCTCCATCCATCACCGCCTCACCCCAAACCGCGCAATCAACTCCTCCCTCCCCACGCCCTCGAGTCCCAACCTCGCCAGCCCCCTACCCTCAACCAGATAATCCACCCCAGTACACATACCAGCCATCACAATAACCGCATACAACGGCGCACACTCCACCCCCAGCACCCGCGCAAGCGCATACCACGCAACCAGCAAATCGCCCACATCCTCAGCAATATTCCTACTCTCGACGCCCTGCGGCGCACGCAAGTCGCGATGCGGCTCGCTCTCACGCGCCAGCTGCACGAGGTCGGTGAAGGTGTGTCCGTAGCACTCGTTGCTGACCTGGATGACGCTGGGCAGAGACATGCCGAGCGCTGCACCGACGGCGATGCGGCAGGTGTCGACGGCGACGAGGGCGTTGGCGACGGAGCGTGTGAGGCCGTCGCGGTAGAAGAAGAAGGCGCCGGAGGTGGACTCGATGCGGCCGGCGTTCAGCAGCACCATCAGCGGGTGGAAGACGCCGTTGATGTTGGAGAGGCAGACTTCGACGATGTTGGCGCACCAGTGCAGGTGCAGGGGGAATAGGGCTGTGAGGCGGAGTCGCACGTCGGCGTCATCGTCTGGGGGGTGGTGGATTGGGTTTGTGAGGGAAGGGGGATCGTCGAGGCGGGCGATGTGGAAGCTGCTTTTCTTGCCGAGGACGACGAGGGCGCCCTCGCTCATGCGACAGGAGTATGGGGAGAGATTTGTCTCGAGGATGGCTCTGACTTTGACGTCGCGCAGTTCTCTCTGCACTACTAGGCCGAACAGATTGCCTGGTACTGCGACGATGGTGTGCGCACTCAGGTCGAATCTGCGTAGTTCCTCCCACACGGTTTCCTGGCCTGTACTCGGCACTGTGATGACGACGGTCTTTGCGAAGGCCACGACGTCGGCCATGTCGGTCGTCGTGCGAGGAGTGATGGCGGAGACGATGAGACCATTGGAGCGGAGGACGCCTTTGCGTATGACGGCGTCGGTGTGGGAGGTGTGCGAGGGATGTGAGTAGATGAGGACTGAGTTGTGATGGGCGTGAAGGTCCGCGGCGAGGGCTGTGGTATGTTTAGCAATTTTATGTTGGGTGAAACAAGGAGCGTCACATACCATATCCAGCAGGTCCTGCGCCGACAATGGCAACTCTCGGTTGAAGCATTATAGCGTCGTTCTAACGAGGACTATGTATGTGTAAGACGGTGCTATGTCGTTGAGAATATGCTTGTATGCGAAGATCGTCTGTTTGGGTTTGCTTCTGCATATATATCTGCAGCATCCTGGCAAGAAAACAAGTGTGTTCGTGTTGGTCGGCCGAGCGGAGAGGGATCATCGTCTGGAGATGAGCATGTTCGAGCAAGTAGCAGAAACGTGGTGTAGCAGTCGATCCTGGTTAGCGGACAAGGTCCCCACGCATATGTAGCACGTGGCTTGCGGAAACGGGCTATTTAAGGTGAACGGCGGTGGTGCTAGTGTATATAGCATTGTGCTATTATTACCTTGGAGCGCTGGGACATCAACGGTGCTGGACATCACGGTTCTGCTTATCTTGGCTCGCAGGACACAGTAATCCAGCTTGTACATCAGCTCGGAAGGATTTGAACTAGGCGGTATGGAATCGAATGGTTGGATATCAAGACGCTCATATGCCAATTACCAGCTGAAAGCCTCCTCAACAAGGTCCACTCTATAACCCTCCTTGATACAGCCGACCACTTCTCTGGTGGCTTCGTCCGTCATCTGGCTAGGTCCGCATACGACAATAGTTGTCTGCTGGCCTTTTTCCAAGTGAGACCTTAGCTCCGTTCCCATCATCATTCGTCCTCTCGTTGCGACAGCGGATTGTCCTGTCTTGACTCCGCTTGCCTTCTGGCTTTCAGTATCCGAGTCCTGCTCAGTGTTCTTGGAGTTTCCTGTGCACCAGAACGCGCACTCGATTCCTTCAACCTCCACGTCGAATGAAAGGAACCTATCCTTTACGAAGTCGATCAAGGCCATCTCCCTTGCAGACCAGAGAAGCACTAGTCTCTTAGCTTTCTTCATCAGACCCCGTGTCTTACTCTGACTCTCACCACCGGTGAACTTTCCGCTGGTGTACTCCTGAACCAAACCGAGAATGTTGGTGATACCAATACCGCCAACGAGACAGATGACGGTGTCCGCGTTGACGAGCGGCTGCAGGGTCGCACCGTGTCCCCCATATGGTCCTTCCGTATAGACTGCAATTTCTGCAGGCCGAGTGTCAGAGGTGAAGAGATCTCGAAGTAAGGTTCTTGTGAAGCCAGTGTGGGCCCGCATCATGAATGATATCGAAGGCCGTTCATCCATCTCGCCTAAGAGCGGTGAGGACGAGTCCTTGGTAATGGCTCGCGAATGTGTGCTCAAGCCATGCTTCGCACCAACAACGTTGATCTCGTCGTCGGCAGTTCTCTTCTCCGCCGAGGAGGACGCCGAGCTAGAATTACTTGGTTGCAATCGTCGCTGCCTTCCCCAGCTAACTACACTGAAAGGATGGCTTTCCCAGAACTTCCCTACGCCAATATAGGGAAAGTACAGAAAGGTGTGTTGCCCAACACCGAAACCTATGGTAGTGCGAGGATACACCGTGACATGCATGACGTCGCATCCCGGGACCCGTTCAACGATGGCCTTGGAGCTGCCAAGATGGCTGTAGAAGCCAACGCGCGCAACTCTGGCCACTCGGTCGAAGACCCAAAAAGCGAAGCAGAGGTACAGCCAGGTCTGGTAGCCATATACGTAACCAAAGTGGGGAACAATGTGGTACCATGTTGCAGCTAATGTGAGGATGACCAGGGCAATGTGGATAACTAGGAATGTCTCGTAGAACTTGATGCGGAATGCCAGGAGGGCGAATGGGAGGATCAAGCACATTGCAATGGTCGCGATGATTCCCCAATACTATCATATAATGTTAGAATCACTCTGCAGAACGCCTTGTGTTTGAACTTACGTAGAATGGCTCTGCAGCCTTTGCAGCGTATGCAGAGGCGCCTTCGTACCCTTGCTCCCAGTAAGCCATTGTGTAGACAATGGAGTGGACAACGGCTTGCAACGTGGCCACGCGTGCTGTCCAGCGGTGTAGAGTCATGAAAGTGGTTTGACTCCAGCCAGTAATTGTCATGAGAATGTTGTTGCGCCCCGCAAACAAGATGGCTATACTCATGTTGACTATGCTGATGGTTCCAGTGCGGTTTCCTACGTATTCGCACAGTTCGAAGCCTTTCGACAGGAAATATATGTTCGGTTGAAAGCTGCGATAGGACACAGAGCACAGTATGATGTTGATGATGACATATACAGCAATTGAGATGGTCAAAGCCCTACCAGGAACATACCCAGCATTGGCTGGCAAAGGTTCAAGGCGTCGACTTCTGAACAGAGCGGGTAGGAAGACCGCTTGCTGACATTTGGCCCATAGCGTAGACGTCTGCAGCTGTTTTTGAAATCCAGGTAGAATTCGCTGTGTCTGGACGAAGAGACCACAGGCTAGGATGAAGCCAATGACAATCAGATAAAGTATTAAACTGCAAACGAGTTAGTCTCCGTCAGATAGGCATAGCATCCAAAACCTACGAGTATCGCGTGTGGATATACTCCGATCTGGCGAATTCGCCCAGAGTACCATGGGTCGAGTAGTATGTGTCTCCGTTGACAAGGCTGGTCGAGTTGAGCCAGAGCGCATCAGCCGCCAGTTCTTCCGTAGGGGCAGATGATGGCAAGCTGTCCTGGAAGGTCGGCTCTGTTGCGCCGCCAAGTGCTTGCTTGCTGAAACACTCTGCTTGCTTAGAGGTGGGATATCCATCGGCATTGCAGTTCTTCTGGATGCAGTATGCCATAGTTTGCAGCCAAGGAGTATTCGACGCGTAGCATTCCTCGCTGGTCTCGGGCATCATAGACATGTCCATTCCCATGTCCATGGACATACTCGAAGCCGATTCAGCATCCATGCCCTCTGGAAATGTTGTACAGTTGAGGTACAGTTTGGAAAGCGAGTCGTGGCATGATTGGCAGCAAAGGTCCTGATACAATGAGATACCAAAGCCGATGATTCCACTCGCGGAGGCCGTCGGTACAGTTATCAGTGCGAGAACGTGCAGCGCGCTGACCAGCTTCGACATGGCCATCTTGAAATGCGCGTCTCTCCTAGACGGCGTCGTCAAGGGCGATGTGGTGATTCTGTCGCGTAGTGCTCTGGCGTGGTGGCCGATCTCAGGTGACGACAAAGGTAGTAGAGAGGGACGAAAAGAAGACGAAGACGAAGAGAGCACAACGTGGGCCCAGGTGCATTAGTGGAATCGCTATTACCTAGATCCCGACGAACATAACCAGACGGAGAATATGCGAGGAAACGTGGTATAGGTACAGAATGTAAAGGGTTTTAATAATGTGAAGACGTCGAGAGGTCCATCACGGTCCATCTGCGGCGTCGGCTGAGAAGGTTTTGCCCACTGAGCACGAATGAGCAAGTTGTTTCGCGCTAGTGGCGCCCCAAATGCTGAAACAGGCTAGAGATCCCCGTAAGGCTGACATGCGGGACGAGCCGACGAGCTTGCAGGGGTTGGATTCTGTTTAAAGCTCTCTATCCCGCTCTCCACCTCGGTCCAGGGTCCGCCACTGTATTTCTTCATTTCTTTCGTATCATCCTTCATAGTCATTTGATCATATGAGTCTTACGTCGAAAGCTTCGTCCGGAGCCAGCACAGACTAGCCGTCTGTTTTGAGCATGTATAACATTACGTGGGGTGTTGATATTGTTACCTAATATAACTTGACCATGGATATGACTAGGAATTACCCATATTATCGAGTAGACATCATGGTGGGCCGCAGTCTTCGGCTAACGCCTCTGCCGCCTGTTTATAAGCCAGTACACGCCCAATGCTGCCGATACATTGAAAGCAATGTACACAAACATCAAGCCAAGGTCAAGCCATCTTCGCGAATACGACATGGTCAACACACCAAGAAAGCTATCTGTATCTGCAACGGGGCAAAATCTGCATGATCCCATGCTGTCAGGATTTAAGATGCGTCCCCCGTTGGCGGAGACATAAGGTCCAAGATAGATCTCACAAGTGACATTTGTGGGACCTTGGAGAACGAGGACTTCTTGTCGTGCACATTCGATCGCTCTCCGTCCAAGCCCGGTCGTTGACAGACCTTCGACCAGGTACGTGATCGGTGTGACCCGATACATGAAGATCCAGAATCTCGGAAAGCTGTTGGAAGGTACCAAAACACTGACAGCAATGTCAGCGAACTCCAAAATGATGAATATCAAGGTGCTTACCCGCAGAAAAGGAGGCATAGCATGTAGAGCAGCTGGGATATGTTAATCGCCGTCGCCGGCTCGGGTATCATGATGGCCATCATGTGAGCAAAAGACGACGTGAACATCAGATATGCCCAGATGAGCATAAACATCAATCCGCTCCTCTCACGCACAGCTGAGCCCATGTGGCGGTACATGCCTACTGGGTAGTAGAAACAAACATATACAACGACCGCAATGAATGTCTGAGATGGCACCTCTGCAATCATGGTTGAGCACATAAAAGTCTTCCATGAGAAAATTTTGGATGGCCGTTCACGAGCTTCAAAGATTGCGCGGCTATATGCAAATCGCCATATCAACAGCTGCATCATATTGCTGAACAGTGTCAGGAGGAGGAAGACGGCAAACACTTGTCCTTGTGTGCCCTGGATGGTGGAAGGTGCTGCCCAAAATGACACTCCTATAGAAAAGGCCTCGAGATTGTTAGCGTCTTGAGTTGGGACGTGGAGGGAAACCACATACCATTCCAAAGCTCAGTAATACCTTGGAGTATAGATAGGAGGGTACGCGCCAGTCCTGTTGCAGTGCCCTTAGGAGAACGGTATATAATTGCGTAGGAAACCGCACCGCAAATTCGCTCGAGTCGTATATAGACACCGCAGGCGACTGCCTCTCCGAGAGCTTTGTTATCTGTTCTTGTACATCCCGGCGCTGTTGCGAATTCCTCCAGACACTGACCCAATCAATTGTGTCGTCGGATTTTGAGGACGAACCCATCTCCAGAAGCCACTCCGCCGGATTTTCGTGCTCTGTAAAGTCACGAGCACCATGCGAAGTGAAATAGTTCTTCATGATAGCTCCGTGGTGGCCAATATCGCCGAAATAAATAGACCGTCCGCCGCGATCAAGAAGCAGGAGTCTGTCGAATGTGTTGAAGATGTGCGACGACGGTTGGTGGATAGTACACAGAATAGCTTGACCCCCATCTGCCAGTTTGCGAAGCAATCTACAAATCAGCCAAGCTGTCTCGCTGTCGAGTCCCGATGTCGGCTCGTCAAGAAATAACAACAAAGCTGGCTTCGCCGCCAGTTCCGTCGCAATTGAAAGTCGTCGGCGTTGTTCGATGTTTAGACCTGGTTTTTGTAAGTATGTATAAAAGCGTGATGAAGAGAGCAATACCATTCCCAGGTATACCAACTACGGCGTCTGCGTAAGACTTCATCTCGAGGGTTTCCATCACCTGCTCGACATAGGCAGCTTTGTCTTCTGCCATGATATCGGCAGGCTGTCGAAGTGATGCACTAAACATAAGAGACTCTCTCACAGTCAGTTCTGGTATATGAATGTCTGTCTGCTGTACGTAGCCAGTCTGACGTTGAAACGCCGGTAGACGTGGCCTCCCATCAACGGCTATGTTTCCTGAGATGACTCCAAGTCGAGTGCGATTGGCCAGCACGTCTAGCAAAGTTGTCTTACCAGCTCCTGTCGCACCCATGAGCACAGTGAGCTGACCCGGTCTCACCCAACCCTCTACTTGGTCTAGGATACGTTTCATGGCAGACCCAGACTTGATGTCGTAGCATAAATCGTTCCAGTGGAGAACAGAATTATGGCTCTGGATATTCGCCATACCACTCAGCCTTGCTGGTGCCTCTTTCGCCACGGTCTTGTGCCCCGTGGTGATTGGACTCTTCGAACTGCTTGGACGTCTAAATATCAGTATGTCTCCGCGTGGCTTCTCTGCAGATGCAAATTCAGCTCCGAGAATCAACACAATCATGAACACTATCAAAAAGGCCCAAAGAATGCCCAAATTCCTCCAGAGGTGGCTTCGCTCAAATCCAAAGCTCTCCGAGACATAACGATTGCCTTCAACATACGTCTCTCCGGGAATTGACCCGACAGTAGAGCACGTCATCATTCGTTCCTCCATACTATCATAAGGCGGCCCTTTTGGAATGATAGTGGTACATGGAAACCTCTGGCCGTCAAACTGTGTCGTAGATTAGCGCCCTCCTACGGCCACAAGAAGCGAACCTACTTCATTCAACATCATGCTTTCGAACGCATAGGCAATCGGATTGATGTATCCGATCCATCGCACCCAGGGCCTCATCTCACGCGTAGGAACAATGAAACCTGTGGATATTATCCAATTAAGTATCCAAACAGACACAGGAGCCATAGAATGTGCTAAGGTGCGTGAAAGATAGCCCACCATACGGTAGAACATCGACATGGTAAGATGGAGAGAAAATGCGAAGACAAGGTATGTAAAGAAAGCGCCCGGGGTTCTTCGGAGGTTGCTCATGAAATATACAGCAAAGTTGAGGAGTAAGGATGAGAGAATTTTGGCTGGGATATCGCATATCATGGCCGCGATAGCCTCGGTACAAGGATGATAGAGTGCATAGCGATGATGCTTCTCGACAATAGGGCGCTGTGCCCATATAGTCCCAACCTATACATGGAGTGAGCACGTCAATCACAGGCAGCGGTGGTATAAAAGATAGCTCTAATACCTCAAATCCACTCGCGGTTGCGTTGAGTAGCGATGCAAAGAATACAAGAGCCCCTCGACTGTAAAAACTTGCCGTGTCCGAGTGCAGATTATAGAACATACTACCTGTAAGGATTCCAAGCACGCCTTGTGCGAGTATGCCTGAAACCGGCACTGCCATGTTGCTCTTCATCCTCTGAAGTGCCCTCGCGTTGCAGAGCGCAACTTGGTAGTGGAAGGGCAGGACGTATGAGCTGGGCCTGAAACGTTATGAGTTGAAGCTCAATATACGATATAAGGATATTACCTTTTCTTTTGCACCAGGTGAGCATCTTGATCTTGAGATTCCATTTCACCGCGTACTTCGACAGAGACCATCTTTTCAATCTGAGCAATTAGCTCTTTCCTTTTTGTACTTGCCTTCCAAATTACTTCAAAATCTTCAGCCGAGCGTGGAACCTTTTTGTGAAAACCTTCCGTGACTACGTGCTCCTCAGGATTTGTTAAGGATGTCAAAAAGTCTGCAGTAGTCATTCGTTCCTCACAGACAAATCCAAGGCTAGTGAAATATTCCTTGGCCTCACTGGCTGCCCCAAAGTATATCTGTCTTCCTTCGTAGAGGAGGCAGACTTTATCAAATGTCTGGTAAGTAAGTATATGAGTCAATGCAGTTCTTGGGTTGGTAACAAATACCTCGTACATGTCTTGAGACGCTTGGTATAAGCTCATCAGGCTTACAGTTCCGAATGAGCGGGAAGACTCCTTGATAAGCTTCACAATATTCAAAGCTGTGGCACTGTCTAGGCCTCGAGTACTCTGATCCCAGCAGTGTACCTTGCCATTGCATACATATGCTTCTGATATGCTGATGCGTTGTCTTTCACCGCCGCTGACCCCACGAATCAGGTCATCTCCGACTCTAGTCCGAGCACTACTCTCAAGGCTGAACAACTTCAGAATACAGTCAGTGACAGACTGCAATCTTTCGCTCCGACAGGAATTGGCCGAATCGTATAAGGGGACCTTCGCGGAAGCAGCATACTTGAGAGTGTCATGGACTGTCAGTTCCGGGAAATGGTGATCGGTTTCGGCGTGGTATACTAATTCTCCGTGACGCTCCTGATTCTCAAGGCCTATTTACTTCATTAGTGCGGTAGCAATGTACTTTATCATTAAATGGAATGGGTACCGTTGTATCTGATTTTGCTGTCACTCGTGATGGTGAGACCGTCATGTTGACCGGACAGTGTTTTGAGAAAAGTAGAGCAACCGCTTCCCGGTCGACCAAGTACGAGTACAGTCTCTCCTGGTTCGATAAGCCCATCAAACTGTCTTAGGATCGGAATAATGCTAGGTCTCCGGTATAGAAGCTGCTGGAGTATAGAAAATGGGTAGTTGCCACAAGTCCGCTGGTAGTCTGAGTTGTAATTGCGGCCATTGACAGTCAAATCGCGAAACCCGACGTGGCAAGCTTCGTCGCGGTGGAATCTCCCTCGATATCTCGCATACAATTCGATGTCTTCTTGGAGCTTCTCGGTCATCTTACCTGCAACAAGATTTCACCTAGAATTCTATCTGATAACGACTTCTTGTCGCTCGGTGGAGTAGATAAATTAGAAAGACTGAAGTGAGGGAACCTATGAAGGGGCACGGGTTTGAGCAGGAAGCTGGAAGACACTCAAGGCTGTCGCATCGGGAATGTGAACAAAACGACACCTCGACGCCGCTAAACACATATTAGTTTTTCACTACGCCATGATGCTGCAAGGGATTCCATTGCAATCGCTGATCACCCAACATTTTGGATTGCAAGGTTACCCTTGTGTAGCAGCGGGCGGCAGTGATGGAATAGGTAGAGCCTTAGTAGCCCGCTTTAGCAATGCTCATTTGTAACGATGGCTCAAAACCCATTGAGGTTCACAAATTATTGTTGGAATGAAGCACTATTAGCCTGTCAGATATAAAGTTAACTTGTCGCACATCTGAGCAAAAGCGTTGTGATATCATTAGCCAAATTCGAGTTTCAAATCATCATGTCCCTCTACGATACAGTTGGACGGGTTCCTAAGCATGCGTTCATCATTTCTCACGCTGTCCTTCTTGGTCTCAATATTATCATCATTGCTGTCAGGTTCTGCATCAAGCGATTGATCTCCGAGCGATTCGCTGCCGATGATGTCTGCATTCTTGTATCTCTCAGCACATTAATCGCTTCTCTAGTCATACTGTTTGCTAAATTAATTGACGACATGTACTTTGCACAAGCACTACTGCTTCGAGAGCCATGGCTTGTACTCCCACCGAACACTCTCCAGCGCGTATTCTCTTTCCAGAGATGGAATGCGATTATGCTGGGCTTGACTTGGACATCAGTCATGTTTGTCAAATTCAGTTTTCTTTGTTTATTCCGGCGTCTTGTCGATCGTCTAAGATTTTGTAAAATCTATTGGTGGTGCGTTTCATCGTTCTGTTTTGCGCTTCTTATTGCTGGCGGTGCGCAATACTACTATACTTGCCCTTACTTCGGAGACTTCAGAGCGCGTAAGTACATGAAGTTCCCCCTGATTGAAGATTGTTTGACCTGAGAAAGTATCGTGTAATGGTGGAGGGTCCCGACAGTCGATTGTTGCAGCATTATCAATAGGTAGCACCGTATTTGAAATCTTCAGTGATGTCCTTAGTAAGTAAACTCGCAAATACATCAACTCAGACATTGCTAACTCACCCAAGTACTCGCTATCCCAGTGAAATTGATATGGAAAGTTCGAATCAAGTGGACCCAGAAAGTGGGACTAGGCTTATCGTTATGTCTTCTCATATTTGTAATAATTGCGACCATCATACGTGGTAGTGGACTGGAAGCAAAAGGTATGATTGATATCATCTGGCAGACCTACTGGCTTTTGGTATGCGCACAGATTGGGCTTTTCATGACCTCAGCGACCGCATTCCGAACCTTCTTTGTTGCAGTCTCACATCCTAAAGCATTGAGATGGCCAGGTCGCACTCGTACGACACAAGATCGATCGTCTAGCTGGGTATCGAGAATCGGCAGCCGGTCTACCTGGCGATGGAAATCTGAGCGTCTCACTCCCAATACCACAAAGGACTATGAGCTTCCTGCGAAACTGTCACGCGCTCGACTGAACAGCTCTATCAATATTGCCAGAGGACATAACTCGACAGTTATCTACGCTGCAGGGCAGACCCAAGATCAGTCGTGGGCGGAAGAACAAGGCCTGAAATTATCTCAAGGTTATAGTTGCACGAATATCCCCTTGTTCCACCATTCACAACAATGCCAGTCTTTGGAAGACATACCTGAGCTCGAAAGAACCAACTGGGTCTGAATAGACCTTAGTTCACCTGCTCCCAATTGAAGGATGATGAACTCAGGGAGCATCAAAATCACCGAGAAAGCTGCTCGATTGAATGGAGCAGAGTACTTAGATGATAATATTACACGATATGAAGTCTCCAAGGAAATTGCTCCTGCGTGATAGAGAGCATGAATACACAACTCATGCTTATTGTAGCTTAAAGGGCCGCTTCTACAAGACAAGAGATCTTGTAGAAGTACGAATGCATTGGTATCAAAATACAAACGAGTCTACAAAAGTCTAGCAACAATAATACACTGTCTGCTTTCTCTATACGTACCTGAAAGTCTGGTACAGCAGGGCAGCAGGGCACTTCAAGCTTCCAATCGTATTCATTCACAAGTGCCGTTCTGAGACCGAATCAATACGCGATCGCTGTGGATACTAGGATGAGGTGCAAGCTCCACAGGCAAATCGTTCAGCAAGCACTGTTTTATGCCACCTCCTGATGATGTACTTCTGTGATTGGAAGTGTTCCACTGTTGATACATGATGAGCAACTACCCAGGCACGATAACCCCGATAAATGCATCGTTAGTGTGTTTCTTACAGCGGCACTAATGCACTCTGCAGTCTTATCCTTAACCAACATGTTGTCTCCCAAAACCAACTGTTGTCTCCAAAACCCAACCGTTGTCTCCCAAAACCCAACAGGTGATGGCCATCCGGCTTCGGACACCCAGCCTTATGGGTCACGGCTCATTCACACATGTCCGAGCGCGCAGCTGAGGACCAAATTGGTCGCCGGGTCGCATTGACTGTAGAACAATGACCGGCGGTCCGCATCATTACTTGCCTTTCTTAGTAAATCGTAGCCCAATAGATCTACGCTTGATCCATGGGCTCTCCTGTGTGTCTCATTGACAATATTTCAGTACGCTGGAGGGACAGCTTAGGTTTATGACAATTAAACTGTCCATATCATGCACTGATCAGAGAAAGAAGGCTTCGATATGACTCATACTCATCAGTTCTACATATAATATACGAGGCCCTCTTGTTTCAATTACGGTATCCATTATTCTTTAGTCTGGTTCTCGACCGGGACTATACTTCACAGCTGTCTTGTTTGAATTCTTGATACGCCTAAAGCAAATTGGGAGTCCTGGACTACCTTTGAGTACTCGTCCTCCCACACCTAAAGCGTATGTGTCTGGAGATGGTTCGAATTACACGGCAATATGAGTCACTAGACTCGCTGGTGAGACAAGCGACAACACGGTGTACTATACCACCAATACTACTACTGACAGTGATAATGTCTGTGAGCATTGTCTATAAACTTTGGCAAGGTAGAAGCACCAATAGATACGGGAAAATACCTCCAGTAGCTCCACACGGCATAGCGTTCTTCGGTAATGCTTTGCAATTGTTTCTAAACCCTGTAGGGTTCACTCGAACCGCTGCGTAAGTCTCGAGTCCCCAGCTGTTTAAACATGGCAGAACTCAAGCAATTAACGCTCTTTGCGCAGAGTGAGATGGAACAAACAGTCTCCGTACATGGTCAAGTTACCTTTCACACGACTGTTCTTTTTCCATGGCGCAAAGAATATTACAGCCATCTTCAAAGAGCCTGCCTTTATGAACGCAGTCTTCATACATACCACTCTGCTCAAACAGCTCTTTGGCATGTCTTCTCAATCGGTACAAATGTACATTGCCGACAATTCAGGACCATATGCGAAGGCGGAAGCCAACAGTAACGTCAAGCCTCAAAACCGAATCGAGTACCTCACTCATGAGAACTTGGTCAAGGGTCTTACAGGACCCGGTCTGGATCCTGCTTTCGATAGATTCACAAAGCTATTCGATAAACAGCTTGCTCATCTAAGTGTAACGACAGAATGGTTAGAGTATCATGACGTGTTTCAATTCATTCAGGACACTGTTGGGCCGGCTTTATTGGAGAGCATATTTGGTCCAACACTGTTGTCCGCGAACCCGAACATGATCCGCGATCTTAGCGACTTCGACAGCTCAGCGAGAACTCTGACGCTCCTCAAAGGACTACCTTCGATACCAATCTTCTCTGCATATAGAGCTCGTGATAAGATATTGGAAAACGTGAAGCGCTGGCACAGACAGGCGCGGCGAATGTTCTCAGAACGATGTATTGACCCCGATGGAAACGGAGATCCATACTGGGGTTGTGAGATGATCAGAGAACGGCAGAAGATCCTTCTTGGGGTGGAAAATCTGGATCATGACTCAGTGGCTTCTGCTGATCTCGGCCTCATGTTTGCGTATGATCTTCCAATTGAAACCAGTTCAAGAAGCTAACATCTTTAGGGCTTTCACGACTATGATACCGACAGCTACGATGAGCTTCATACATACCTATAGTGACCCAAACCTGACGTCGCAATTGCGTCAAGAACTCGAATATCGGTCTAATGGCACATCGTTTGACATAAAGAATCTCGAAAAGAGTCCGCGTCTCCGATCGCTATTCTCCGAAGTCCTTCGAACTTATCTTGCGACTTTCATTACGCGTTGTGCTCCTGATCGCGATCTACATGTGTATGAATGGATATTACCAAAAAGAAGTGTGATGATACTCAATACATATGTATCGCATCATGATTCTGCTTCTTCTGTATGGAACACCAAAGGTGGTCAGCATCCACTTGACGAATTCTGGGCCGAAAGATTTCTTGTATGGCCTGACGACGATGCCACGGGACCTTGTAAAGACCAGTCTACAGACTTTATCACATCTGCTACCAAGCGAGCAGAGCCCATCTACTCAATCAACGGTCTTAAAGGATCTTTCTTGCCATTTGGAGGTACTGTAACTCTAGAGAATACCCAAAATATAAGAAGAGACTAACGATTGCAGGAGGTATCAGGATGTGCCCCGGAAGACACTTGGCTCACCGCATGAACCTATGGATAACCGCGACTCTACTGAGTCGTTACGAGATCGAGATTGTGACTCCTGAAAAGCACATAGAGCTGGACTGGTCGGTTTATGGACTTGGCATTCTTCGTCCAAAAAATCCAACGCCGTTCCGTATTCGAAGGAAGACTTGATGGGTACCATTTATTGCATTCACATCTCGTAAAGTTCTGTTATACTCTATTGTACTCGCAACATGAAACAGATGCTTATTACAAGCTATGAAAATTTCTCAATTCCCAAGCTATTCATGGCCGTTATTTTTCGGCTCATAAAGAGCTTGCTACGACGTTGAGCCTTACAGATGCTACAAGGCCAGCTGTGATTATGGTCGGTGGCTCGTACGCACACGGCACAAACTATACCACCTGAACACCTGATTATTATCGTCTTTTTTGCGTCCTGCAAGTATGCTGCATGCATGAACAGTTTTTGTTCTAGGATTGCCCAAATCCCTGAACCCCTTGTCGGCCCGAACTGGTCGCACCTCAAAGAGTTATGATCCTCCCATCGACCATGGAGCTTTTGTTGGATGTCTCACTTGCTGTGCTATGTGTGATCGGTGATGAAAAGCATATGCGATAAGGCAATATGGTAAACCCATGCCAATCACCAGCTGCCCACACCAGTAGTGTGTTGTTAGATTGTCTTGTTCGGCACTAATAAGCGAAGAATACAGGGTCAACCAGGGATCAGGTACTACGGATTGGGTTGTGATACTGACTTGCAAGGGTAGTGTTCCTGCTCTGGCATAGGTGCGATCGTTCAGTAGGTACTGGGATCCGTCGTGTTCGTATTTGACTTTATGTCATCAATATCCCGGGAAATGTCGCATAATAGGTGTAATAGGCGCCACTGGCCAAGCACAAAGTAAGGATGATGCTTCACTCTTTACGGGGGCCATCCAGGTAATTAGATTGATCATCGCCTTCAAGTGCCCCGCCATTTTGCAGTACCATGTAGAGCAAGGCAGCTGATATAACACGCATATGGCAGAAGTGCACTAGTCGGGCAGGCCTGCAAACGTTATGGTGTTTGCGGCGTGAGAAACCTTTGTCCCAAAAATAGTGTTTGCCTCAATGGGTAGTCCTTGAGCATTTCATCATCGGTCACGGCTTAGAAATGAGACGGCAAATAGAGCGTGAATGTGCGGCACAGTCAGCGTTTGCCCAACTCTGTTCACTGCTTCAAGTACACTTCATCAGTTCTCTAGAATGAGCCTTCTCAACAGCAAACCTGCCAGTCATGATTTTGTCAACAGTTCTGGCACTAGTGCTCTATGGTGGTCCATTTGCTGCGATTCCAACCTGCTTATTAGTGTTTCTCATCTCGTTTCGGCTTTGGGCTTTCACTATTAAGCCAATTTTAAACCCAAACGAGCCAAAAGAACTGCCGTATTGGATACCTAGTGAGATATGTCTCTGATTTCACCGCCTTCTTGCGACTGACGTTCATAAGTTCTAGGTAGGGCGATATAAAACAGCTTATACGAGACCCTGCTGACCATCTAAAGGCCACGCCCTTGAGTTCGTCAAGAATGGAGATGGCGTCATTACAAGAGCCCAGTATGTTGCAACTAAGACCATAAGCTTCCAATACACCCAACTGACCTTACACTAGAAAATATTTCAAAAATCAACGTGAACCATTCGCTCTCACTGTCGGGGGGCAGAAGTTGTACTTTGTATCCTCTCCCGACGATACAGTGGCCCTATACAGAAACTCAGCAACGCTCTCTGTTGATAAAGTCGTATACGATGTGACTAATATCTTCGGAGTGTCCAAAGCTTCTTGCGACAAGTTCTACGAGGCTCCTGAATCGAGGGATGCGGATCTTGCAGCACAAGCCATTGATATGAATAACGCTGACTTGAAACCACTTGCGCACCTTAATATGATCTTTTGGAAAGAACAGCTCGTGCCTGGTCCCAGATACAACGAAATGTTGGCAAAGGTGTCTGCGTCGATATCTTCTCAAGTTCACAAACTATCAGGACGGTACACTAGATCGACTGAGAAGGATGGTTCGAAGATCGTTTCTCTATTGGAACTTACCCGAGAGGTTCTCATCGATGCGGTCTTGAGAGCATTTTTCGGAGACTCACTTATGGAGCTCAATCCAAATGTAATTGATGACTCGATGCAATTCGACAAAGAAAGCTGGAAGCTTTGGTACAAGGTGGCGGGGGCTAGGAGTATGTTACAGGCGAAACAAAGATTATTAGAAACAACGCAGACTTGGCTCAGCCTTCCGGAGGAGAGACGTGAAGGAGCTTGTGATTTAGTCAAGCGATTGATTGTCACCGAAAGAGCGGTCCATTTTCCAGAGAAAGACATTGCTGAGATGATGTCAATCGTTATCTTCGCGTAAGTAATCTCTACCCAGCGCGGTTCGAGACTCGTAGCTGACATTAGATGAGGACAAACACAAACACGTACAAGGCAGCCTTCTGGGCTCTAGCTCATCTTGTTGAAGATCCACAGCTGTTGCAGCGGCTCCGCTCAGGGGAAGTTGCAGCAGCTGCAAAGCTTGATGAGTCTGAATACCTGCAATTTCTCGCAGATTCTTGTCCGTTACTGACTTCGCTATTCGCGGAGTCATTGCGTGTATACACGAATTCTCACTCAGTACGTATTGCAACAGCACCTACAAAAATAGGTCAGAAAATGATCCCGGTTAATGCTCGAGTGATGGTACCTTATCGACAGATGCACATGCATGATGTTGTATGGGGAGATTCTCAAGTCTTTGATGCAGAGCGTTTCGAACGGAACCCGAAGATGCTCTCCAGTACGAGCTTGAGACCCTTTGGAGGGGGACATACGTATTGCCCAGGAAGATTCTTAGCTAAAGCAGAGGTATTGATCTTGATTACAAGACTTTTAAGCTTGTACGACATCGAAAAGATCGATGACAAAGGCTTTCCGCAAGCGGATTTGGGAACTCCAGTAGCGGGACTCATGGGTCCGCTGGACGGCGAGGATGTCCTACTCAAATTGACGCCCAGACTCCATTCGTGAGGAATCACTATATTTTTGGTCAAGTTATGTACTGGAGCTACTTTGCTCCACGGCGTATCAAGTCACTCGGTTCACGAGTTTCGATTATGCAAGCGCCACATATAAACAGTTTTCGAACTTAACATCTTTCGTACTACTCTGATCTACAAACATATGGCATTGATAAAGTCTTGCGGCAGTCAGAGCTTCGAGAGGATCCATAATGCTCACTCCGAAGTCGACTTCCCTACCGATGTAGTAATGTCTAACTCTGCAGTACCTTACCATATCAGAACATTATGACACCAGCGACTGATATGTCCTTGATACACTCACATCCTCTCTTAGAGCGCCAACGAAAAGTGTATGTCGTTCACATGGTCTACCAGCCTTTCAGCATCAAGGAAAAATTTCCTGCCTACGTTCCATCTGGCAAACCCTGTAAATGCGCGATCAAACAAGTTTTGACACCGCTGGCGATAATTACTATCATCACCAGCCGTTTTGATGCCCCTCGTTTTGGCGTCGGTAGAAGACGGTTCTTTTATTTCGTGTTAAAAATAGTACAATAAAACATATCCGATAGTCAGCTCAGCGAACTTGCGAACCTTGTGGTGGCATGAGTATCGTTATCAATAACAAAAAGAATTGGAAAAAAGCTCGGATAGACCTGGCGGAACTTTCCAGCGCACGCTGGGGTGGTAGAGGTAGGAAAGCGACACAGTCATGAGTGAAGCTAAGCTCCTCTTTTCTTTGGAAATGCGCCCAGATCAAGATGGCATTCATTGTAGTGGATCACGACTTCGTGAACGTAGCTCTGAGGAGTTGTATGAATACCAACATCGAAGAATACCCATGTTTGCCCACAAGTATATGGATACTGCGGAAAGTCATTCCTTGGGGCTTATTTCACAAGCTGAAAAGTTTCAATCGGGTAACATACTACACGAATAGTTACGAATCCCTAGTCAGGGGTCCTGTAAAGTCGATTAACACTCAGACAAGACACACACTTCCGTTATCCTTAAAGCCATCCTTCACACTGAGGATACACGCATTTATCGGCTATCAAAAATAGCAAGCGCACGCTTCCTTCCCTTGGATCATCCAGATTTCGGACCTCTAGTACACGGAGATGATGGTCCATCGGAAACACACTCATCCTAGGGGCACAGCGTCGTACCGATCATTCACATCGACCACGGACAAGTCTAGTCGCCTAGAGCACCAACGAGGAAGATGTGAGCTTGATTGTACAAGATGAATATTTGGAGTGACGCTGGGGAGGCTTTGGAGAGAAAAGCATAGAGAGTGCCTAAAATCGATATGACACCTTTTGAGCCAAGACAGACTATTTACGCTAATGCTGGAGTCCTGCGTGAATTCAAATACTGCAATGTGTAGCAGAGCTCTTGTGATCTTCTCATCGAGCACGGCTCCTGTGAATATCAGCAATGAGAGGAAATATCAAGTCCGCAACTTAGCTCCAGTCATCTGCGAATGTAAGCATTAGCACGCGATTGAGGAGTGACTTGGAGGAGCTAATAGATGATCCCTCGATCGCTACGCCTAAAAGACAAGTGCTCATTATATGGAGACAGAGAAAGACATTGATCTACCTAGCATTGGGCTAGTGGAAAGTAGAAGTCAGCACGGAAAATGAATATTCCTTCGCTGACTAATCATGATTCATCTACTGGCAACAACTGGGGGCTACCTACCAAACCTCAACATGGGACACTACTCATTCCAACAAGTCACAACCAACTCAAGGTTGTCGCAAAATAGTCATCTGATGAAGTGAGTAGTCCCTCTTACTGTAGCGTGATGCCTATGAGATCGCTCTCAAGAGCTTGGTCACATACACAACAACCTGCTAGTCGGCAATGAAATCATGGACTTGTCCAGTCGCCTACTGCAATGCATTGCAGGGAAGTTCTTGAAGAGAAAGATTTTTAAGGTTTCTGTCATAGGTGCACAAGGTATATTGCTATCTGTCCTATGGAACCGGTTACACGACGATAACTGGCTGTCCCAGCAACTGATTCATGCTGCAAAACATTGCTGATACAAGGGATATGACCAGCTAGACACGAATGTAGCGTATGGTACAGAGCACCAGGGAATTTATGATATGAAAATTACAACACTCATAGACCTACACAAAAAGGAGCACGGAATGGAGCGCGAGAGGAGCAGACAGGGAAGGCAGCAGCGCATCAACGACCTTACTACTTCACACCTACCAGCCAAAGATGGGCCATTCTACCATCCTTTGTCTCTATGCAATCTGAGTGATTGGTATTGGCAAAGCTCACATTTGCGTTGTTGTGCAGAGATACAGGCGCGCTTCTTAATTCACTTCACCTCATTTGTTTTGCTTCGGCTGTCTCATTTCAACACACCTTTATTAATGTGCTATCCAAGCTGGCTCACTTTCACCGACTCGGAGAAACATTAGCTCCGCCCCCCGGATTAGGCTCCAATCTTGTGACTCTGTTCATTGTTTTCACCTGCCACTGCAAGTTACCTTCCCTTTACCAGTTACCTCACCTTCTTTTGCAGCTACAACTGCCACCAGCACTACAGGGTGCGCCGGGGAGATGGCCAACCCTAACTCAACCGAAGGAGACGATCGCTTTGAATATGTAGCTATCTCTGCAAGAAGACATGAGCAGAACACGTTGTTGACTTGAGCTTTTAGGACGACCTTTGTGCCGATCGCCGGGAAAATACAATCGCCAGAGACTACGATCACCGCTACGTGAACGACCCTTCCGTTGGATTCGTTCCTAGTGAGCATCAACGGAGCAAACTGACTCTGCCTTGACTGACCCAGTGTGTAGGTCGTGCCTCTAGTGCAATTCGAGGTGGGCGTGCGAAGAGAGTCGATCGAGCCGTAAACCAGGGAGTTACGGAGTGGAACAGTACGCATTTGTCATTGTCTTCTCCTCATTTCAGTTGCTGATCTTGTGATAGCGTACGTCCCAGCTGATGAGGAACGTGATCATACAGCTGAGTCGCTTGGTGTCATCCATGGTGGTCAGTTGCATCGCATCAGACGTGATGGCTACACTGAGCCTCGCAGTTTACCGCCGAATGCTTCTCGTCCCATCGCATCGAATACGAACAAAGGTCCTCCAGTCCATCATAGAAACATTGATCTGGCACGTGCTTCACCAGTGCATCAACCTGCGCGCACTGCATCTAGCACAGTGGCCACTCAGACACCTCAAGGACCTAAATTGTTCAACCCTGAGCGAGCCATGGAGATGCTGAAAACTAAATCTGGACCTTCGCTCCACTCCGCTCACCAAGCAGCTTTACCTCACCGTCCCAAGGGACCGTCTGACCCATCTTCGCGCGGCGGTGCTTCGTCTAGCAGCCGCAAGTCAATGCCTCTCAGTGCTTCGTCTAGCAGCCGTAAGTCGATACCTCCCAGTGCTTCCATCAGCTACGTTGTTGATCCTACCGCTCGCCCAACGACTCGTATGTCACATCCTTACGCCTCCGACCGCAAGACAGTTCAGACGAATTTTCCCGACCATGGCGCCCGGCCTATCGCTTATGGTGTCGATCGTTATGTCTCTGACGGCGTCACGGATAAGCCGCTGCCCGCCGTAACCAACAGCAGTATCTCCAAGGACGAAGGTGTGAGGTATGAGAAGCTAGAACCGATTGACCCCAAGGACCCTAATGCTCCAGCTCCGCTTGCCCCTGTAAAGAAACCTATCGCTGAAATTGAGGCGCTCAACAAGGCATTGGACGCTACTGCCTCGGAAGTTGTTCCTCTGAGCGCTGAGCACGTCAATGACTGGTTTGGTATCGTTCGAGACACTGCAGACATCAAGGAGATGCTAACCCATGGTGTCAACTACCATATCGATTGCCGTCTCACCAATTGCCCCTTCGAGAAAGTGCCGTGCCAAATCCAGGCACACTATCGCATTGCGCTCGCGAAAGTCCACAAGCAGATGAGTGTTGGTATCGAGGAGAAAATTGCTAAAGCATGTAAGCTCCTCAGTGAGGGTCCCAGTATCACCCTATGCTCCTTAATATTGCTCGTCAACACTGACATTGCCTTAGCTCTTGTATCCCAGGCCCGCGCCTCCCAGAAGGCGCCTACAGGAAGAAGCGGTGTTCTCGGAGGTGGTTTGGATGCATCCCGCTACGCACGCTAGGTGACCAAACAGAATAATAAGATAGTAATAAAACAACAGTGGTCCACAGTGTATCAAAAACCTGCATGCAAATCTTTCGTCCGAGGCTTGAAATATGTTTTTGTTTTGTGAACATGATCTGTCTCAGTACCGTTGGAGCAGCTTGTCTTGTACATCCATATTGACATTGAATAATGAGTCGGATTTGGTTCAATCACTTATCACTAGGGAAAATTCTCATATAGCTAATACAGCTTTCGAGAGATTCAGTATGGTTATAATCAGTACACATAACTCTGTAAGCATAGATATGACTTCTAGTGTTTAAGCACTTATACCAAGAATTATAAGCCACCAGGCTTGACACCCCAATCGAACTGCAGCCAGCGCCTCGGGTGCCAGAAGTACATGCTGCCGTTCAGGATACGGACATACGCAGAGGCCGGAGTATAGTGAATTCGCTATGATATGCACGGGTACTTCGGTGGATGAGTGTCATAGTCTCAAGGAGAAGGCTTCATGACGGACGGAGCGTCCGTCAAGTTTCTAGAATGTCCTTGTTGTAATAGATGCGAGAAAGGGCGAGTGGGTTACGAGCTCGAATTGGCTAACACCCATCATGGACACAAAGAAGACGCCCAGAAATGGAGGCAGGAGATGATAATACTGTGAGCTTCGATGTTCGGCCAGTTGCTGTGGTACGATATCCCCTAAAACAACGACCCCGAAGCGATACTACTCCTGAGGGATATGCGATCTCGTCCTGGAAATCTATATTGGGCAAAATCCCGCCTACTATCTAGACTTCAACCAAAGAAGTGGATCATGACGAATACATCTTCGCTTCAGCCTAATTGGGGACGTTAGGATCGGAAGAGAAACCCTACGAGAGAAATTTCGAACTGACCAGTCTCGTCCAAAGGTCTGCTCCTGGAACAAGTCAGGACTTTTCACTATGTTGGACAGCTAAAGGATTTCAAACGGTGGACTAAACAAGTCATACAGTCCAGCTCGACCAGCCTCTGTTTTGATTGATGCCCTAGCAAGCCCCAATCAGTATCATGACCCTCGTATCCGCCAACCATGTGTCTGCTATAGCGTGGGTACTAGCAAACAGGGTTATGAGGTCGAACCTTGTCAAACCAACGACGTAGAAAGTGTAACGGTAAGCCATTTCCAGTTATGCAGTGCGATGATGGCGAATGGTAGAGTCCGTGTCTTACTATTCATTAAACGTACAGGTCGCTGATCCCGCGCAGCCGGGAAGAGTTCAGCGAGGGCAACATAGAGACTACTGTCACTGATCCAGGAATGCAAGTCTATCCTGTCGGCCTAGGCAGACAATGGAAACATATTGTATTGAGCATGCTGTGACTGGAAGGGATTTTGGGCCGTAAGTTGTTTGGCAAAGTGGCTGCGGCTGTGCATATACAGAGTGAGGCGATGGCTCTTGGATGTGCATGTTCAGCTGGGCCTCGTCATAATAACATGGTGCCCCTTACACTGCGAGTTGTGCACTAGAATTGTTGGAGCACTTGTTAGATAAATACTGGATAAGTTAATAATCGAGCTTCCAGGTTGCGAAAAAGACGCTAAGAGTAATATGGTTAGATCGTTTTAGGAGGCTTCTCCAGGCGGCCGGATGTCCCTTCCATCATTGCCTTTCCTGTTAATGTCAACTTTCGCGGCTTCACCAGCGCTCATTGACCCACACAGTACCTTCACAGATCGCAGATACATAAGATATCTGCAGGCGGTCTGGAGTCTGCTCTGCTAAACCTATAGAACTAAAACTTGGTACGTGCAAGTCATACAATCTACCTGTTTTGCTCTTAACCTGTCAGCTACCTCGCTCATCTTGCTAATCAACATCCTCAGACACCGTTCACATACAAACATCATGGCCGACATCGAAGACCGCCGTGCCGACGAGCACAACACTGCTGACAATGCAGATGAAGAGGTACGACTCCAACAGCCGTCCTTGACGACGCCACGGTTATCCCTACGCGACCACGGCACGCGGCGCAAACCCCACACCCAGCGCGCGCTTTACTTACAAACAGAAGAGCTAAATTTCAATAGGAGGAAATTCTCGCGATGAAAAAGCGCGTCCAGGAGATGGAAGCCGAAGCGGCGAAGCTCCGTGAGATGCAACAGTCTCTCGATCAGCGCACCGAAGACCTCCGTGAGAACAGAGAAGACATCGACGCACGGAGCATATTTGTTGGTAATGTCGACTATGGCGCCTCGCCCGAGGAGATCCAGTCGCATTTCCAGACTTGTGGCAGCATCAACAGAGTGACTATCTTGCTGGATAAGTTCACCGGACAACCGAAGGGGTCAGTAACATCCAAGAGCTGGGCATTCCCTTGAAAACACATTTACTTATGCTGGCTTTTTGCATTCTTTGCTTCGCATGGACAGGGCTACAGCGCCTGAGAACACTCAGTGCGAGGTCGTGCTATGTTTGCGTTTCCCATGCGCCGAAGATTGTATCTTACTTCTTCTCTTCATGCCCCAGAAAAATCTTCGCTACCTGGCAAGAGATTGGCAGTAAGAGATGGAGCGCTAATGAGCGTATGCAGGTATGCGTATGTGGAGTTCACTGAGCCCAGTCTTGTAGCTCAGGCCCTAGTCCTCAACGATAGCAACTTTCGGGGCCGACAACTCAAGGTTAGTGTAAAAGTCCTGTTTATTTGGTATGTACTGATCATAGTGAAGGTTGTTCCCAAGCGCACTAATCTTCCAGGCATGACGAGAGGTGGAAGAGGTAGTGGACGCGGTGGGCCACGAGGCGGAAGAGGAGGATATGGTGGACGAGGTGGCTATGGTGGTGACCGTGGATACGGAGGTGGTCGTGGTGGAGGGTAGGTCACTCTATTTCCTCACCATTATTTCTGAGTTCGTGCCACATATCGCCGCTCCATCCCTTTCAATCCTTTCATTTCACTTCCGCCAAAGGCGCACAGACAATACTAAATAATACACAGGTACCGCGGTGGCTATCGACCACGAGGACGTGGCTATGCACCATACTAGTTCACTTTGCGCAACGGGTTGAGGCGTTGACATGGAAATGATTTAGTTGCCTCTTACTTGGTCGGATTCGGAGACTGCTATTACTCTCGAACGGACCTGGCATCGTTTATTGTATACTAGAATAGGTCTTCTTCTTCTCCATAATCATCTTGCCAAACCTCATGTGTTCCGCTAAATTCTTCACTGCCCGTTATCCTAATTTTTACAAATCGTGAACCAGTCCATGCCGCATCGCCGTATCGCCAACAAATTGCAAGCGTCTCCTGCAAATCATCAACTGTGTCACCCCTAGTCCGCCTGCGCGGCCAAGTCACATTGCTGCACCCGCTTGCGTTCATATCAATCATGGTGCTGGATTCTCTTTGACTACTTGCTTGATCTTTTTGTCATATGCCACACGGTCCTTCTTGAACAGATTGTATGCATCTGCCTGCGCCGGGCTCTCGGGGTTTGGCTCGTCCAGTAGCGACTGGATCCCTAACAGGATCTCCTTACATGTAATAGCCGGTTTCCAGCCTTCTTCTTCATTGAGAATCGAAAGACACACGGTACCAGACGGGTAAACGTTCGGGTGGAACAACGGTGGCACAAATTTGCACTTGGGCGGCTTCGTCGGGTATTCTATACGAATGAATCAGTCATGATCCCTGGGATGATGAAAGTTAATAGGTGTGTACCTTCGGGAAAAGTCACTTCTAGCTTGAACAGGCCGCCTTCCCAGAGTGTTTTGTCCTTGCCTGGCACGCCGCATTCCCATTTCCTGAGATCGAGGATGCCTTGACTGGTGCGCGTGGGTCGGGCGTAGAATCCGAAAGGATGGTCTTTGCGCCATTGCTTCCTATACGTGGTATCAGATATTGTTCTTGCTGAGCGTGGTCGTGCAAGTCTTACCTCTCCTCGGTGAGGCGATTCTGGCACAGCGACATGTTGAGATCTAGGTTGCACTGCTGCTGGCGCAAGGCTGGATCTTGATTCTTTCGTGTGTGTAGACAGCGGTTGGAAGGAGAATGGAAAGAAGATCAGACACTATAAGACACGAGTGGCGGTGAATATACAGAGCGCGTAGGCGAACGGAGGTGAACAACGTATCTGTCTCTGCAGGTGAGATATAGGTCGTGGAGTGAACTTCGATAGTACAGATGGTAGGCAAGAAGTTCCAGGCACAGGGTCCACGCGGTGCCCACCTAGCCCAAAAGTGGAAGGGATCTGCGCATCGAGCATCCCTCCCCCGCCATCAGTCCAAGCTTCAGAGTCCCCGCTATTCTGTAGTTCGTGGTCGGCCTCGGGCTGTCGAATTCAGCTGGTAACCGAGACTTGAGGCATGACTTCACGGAGCGCAGCTTTACACGTCTTCAGCATAAAACCGTCAGCCCAGCATGGCCGAGAAAAAACCAGAGCAAACACTCATCGAGACGGCGCCTGACCCTGATGAGGACGATTTAGATGACCTGGACGGTACGAACAGAGGATCACATGCCAGGGGAAGGGGAAGCTAATCAAGGCGACGCAGACGTACTCGACGAGTTTGCGCACACGAAAATAGATTCGAAAGCGGAGGTCCCACAGGCTTCTGGGCCTGGGAGACCTGCCGAAACCACAGCCACGACTGCTCCGACGGAAGATTCACCATTCCATTTCGCGGACGATGACTTTCAGAAAGAGCTGCAGAAGGGTATGGCAGATCTGCTAGGGGAGTTCAAGGACTCTCCAGATATGAAAAAACAATTCGAGACCCTCATGAAGGAGCTTGGGGATGCAGCTGCCACATCAGCTGATGGAGGAAGTGAAGATACAGCTGTTCCTGGATCGTCAAATGCAGGAGACCCATCCGCGTCATCCAAGGCTACTGAAGCTTCGTTCCAAGAGACGATACGTAAGACTATGGAGCGGATGCAGCAATCTGGGGACCAAGCTAGTGCGGAAGCATCTAGCAGTGCTGATCTTGGGGATGACATGATGGCGCAGCTACTCGCAGAGATGGCGAAGGAGGGAGGGGGTGGTGAGGAGGGCTTCGCTAAACTGCTGACGGATATGATGGAAGAGCTCACAAACAAGGACGTCCTGTACGAGCCTATGAAAGAGTTAAGTGACAAGTTCCCGGATTGGATGATACAAAACAAGGACAAGGTCTCGAAGGAGGATTTAAAACGATATGAGCAGCAGCAAGTGCTCGTCGGGGAGATCACAGCTAAGTTCGAGGAGAAGAACTACAGTGACAAGGAGCCGAAGGCCAGGGAATATATTGTTGAGAGAATGCAGAAAGTTAGCAAAACTCCTATCCATGCAAAATTTCTTGCTAATATCGTTACAGATGCAGTCTGTAGGCGCACCGCCACCAGACTTGGTCGGGGACACAAATGCCGCCGCCGAAGCTCTTGCTGGTATGGACGAGGGCTGTCCGCAGCAGTAACAATTCATATAAATTTGTACAATCCATTAACGCCACATGACCATTTTCTAACTCCCCCATTCCCTGCCCGCTTGAATATGATGGAAGTCGGATGCTACGACGTGTCCATCTCGTCATCCACAGGTTTCGATAGCTCGGGCTCTCGTAAGATGCCGTGTTGATCCTCTTGGGTGGAGAGATAGTCCATGAATAAGCTGTCATAATCTTCATCATCACTACCAAAATGTGAAGGAAGTTGGTATGCTTGCTCTATATTTTCTTGGTCCTCTATAGCGGCCAGCATTGCGTCAAGCTCTTCCTGTTCTTGCCGGAGAAGGGCCTCAGCCTCAGCTTCTTCGTGATGTGAAGCCAGGGCCGAATTTAAACTTGACGTTTGAAATGATGGATGTGTTTGGTATGGCTGGCTGCTAAGCATGATCTCATCCTGTGGTTCGTCGTCTTCGGCGAATTCATCAAACTTTGGCGCGGAGCGCGCCTTCTCGGTCTCCCATTTCTTCTGCTCTTTCATGAAGTCCATCCTCAGGATCTAGTGAATGGTCAGCATCGACAGTTGCAGGAGTATGGCTATATTTCTTACCTGTTCGCCCTTCGCCTCCCAGTTCCGGTCCTCCCGGCCCTCTTTCACTTTTTTCAAGAATAAATCGCGTCTCTTATCGCGAACCTCCTCTCGGCCACGATTTATAGGAGCTTGCTTAATGGAGCGCTTCGAGTAGGGGACCTGCTGCTTCGCGTCTTGTGCTTGCGACATGATAGCAGAATTATACCGCCGCGGGCACGCATTGGAGGATCGTTCCGAGAGTGGTGACGAGCGGGCGGGTGCAAAAGATTGCGGCATGAACATCAACTGTGTCGCCAACATACTTGTCTGGAGTGAATAGGGATGTAGAATGTCCTGTGGAAGAGGTGGAGTGTTTATGCTCGTTAGAGGAAGGTTCAAAGGTTGTAAGACGCGCGTTACATCATCATAAAGTCGCGTCGATGGAGCTTAGCTCGGCACGCGTCGGGAAGCTCTAATACTCATGCCTGAGGCATCACGATCTAGATCCCTCAAAGCCCCCCCTGCTCAGCCTCGACCTGGGTTGTCTCATGTAATTTCGTATCACTTTTAGGTGAGAGCTGAAAGATGCCTGCGAATACTTCGCCTCCTTCAGATGTCTACAAGTAAATCGTGTTTCTAGTCTTTGTCCACTTGCTCTGTTTCAAAAACAAAACCCCAGATGCTTGTGACTCAATTCCATACAAGAATGAATCTGTCGCTATATCACATTTCAGTACAATAGGCATGGAGGCAATCGCCGCAGTTGGAGTCGCTGCATCAATTGTGCAGCTCGCCGGAGCTGGCCTGCAACTTTCCGTCATTCTTTACGAGTATGTCGACTCTGTCTCAGGGGCCGATAAGAGAATCAAAGCCATCGCTCGAGATGTAGAGCTTACATCTGCTGTCATTCAAGAGTTGGGTCATACGTTTTCACAGAATGGCACAGCCCAGGTCATGACTGCTAGCTCAATCCAGACTGCTGAAAGTGCAGTTAAGGAATGTCGCTATGTGTTTGATGAGCTTGAGGCGATCGTAGCAAGAAGCAAGGACAGCCGTATGGCCAAATTTACCATGCCATTCAAAGACAGCAAGATACAACTTCTACGTGCCAACTTGGACCGATGGAAAAGCACACTTCAACTTCTGATGCAGGCTCTTCTACACGCGCAAATGGTGCGAAACAAGTAAGATCAAGATCGCAACTAATTCCGTCGAAGATATTTCGATTGCTAATGAGTGCTCCAGTGATCAAGACAGGGCTGAAGTCCTGAGACAGCGGAAGGAACTAAAACGCCTTATAGAAGCTAAGAAGGCCGCTATCAAACGATACGAGGACACAATGAAAGCGACGAGTTCCAGTGAAGACAGCACACTCGTTGAGTAAGACATGAAGCTAGTGATGTATTATCGTTGTACTAATGTGAAAAAGGGACTTAGAGCCCCCCGAGCGGATGCAGCCTGGTCCAAAGGCTATGCCTAGCCTGGGTATCAAAACCTTCACTGCCTTTGTGTCTAGTCTTGCCGTACCAAACAAGGACAACGCCAACCACAACGACTTGGAGAATTTGAACCGAGATTTGGATCTCAATGCGAGCGTTGATCAAGAAGGCAACACCATGAGCATTGACAAAACCCTTACAACACCTGGTGTTGGTAGTCCTAAGTTACTGAGGACTGGACGTGACAAACGAGGACTGATCACGAACGAGTCCCTCGCGCTTTGTATACAGCACATCCAGTCACTTCTCCAAAATATCGAAGTGGTAGAAAGCCAGCTCGATCAGTATGCTGGACAGACTACTCAGACCATCGAGGCCGAGATGCAATTACAAGCAGCATATGCGAAGACCCGAGATGCTCTAGACACAATCATCGATGGCACCGAGAAACATTCATCTACCAATAAAATCAAGGTAGCTACCAGATCCAATGTTCTATCCATGCATTAGAAAGAGTAGGTCTGGCTAACCTAATGACAGTATAATCAGAGAGCTTCTTCGTGCGGCTATTGCGATAACAGGGGGATTTTATGCATCCACGTCGGTATCGAAGCTCGATCGAAAGGCCACAAAGCATCCACACGTTTGGCCTATATGCGCGGGTGTAGAACGTGTAGAGCCGACAGAAGGAAGGTAGGTCCAAAAAGATGTACCCCATCTTCAGGGATTTCAAGCACCAATGGGTCCACTGACAGGTCCTAGTGCGATGACGAGACTCCCCGGTGTGGTCGATGTGTTCGCAGAGACCTCTCTTGCGAGTATAGGGCGTCAAAGCCTGACGGTAAGCAGGGCTTGCCATATGGTAGGGATGTCTCTTCAGTACCACGCAATGTTTCGTATGATGTTGATATTCCGAATGGCACATACCGTGAACCGAGCCGAAAGGATCCTGAGTATAGGGGCCGAGGAGTAGCTCAAGTGAGTCTTGCCAGCGCTACCGTGGCCGGTCTTGTGGAACGTAGGTCAAGAACCCCCCCATTTGATCGTCGTACTCTGGTCACTCGGCCACCCAGCCTCCACGAAAGACCAATTGGCACCGACCATAGAATATCACGCCTATCAAACGTTTATGGAAATGGAGAATCTTTGAGGGGGTTTCCAGACCCGGGGTTTTTAGATTCTCCCCAGCGGCCTCCATACTCTCAGATGTCTAGTGTATTGCCCAATGTGGCGACAGTATCTGCACCATACCAGCCACCTATCGCACTTCATGCACTAGAGCGGCATCCTGCACGTTACAGTACGATTCCATCTCCAGAAATGGTGGGAGAACGTGAATGGGGGCGTGAAAGCTGGCATGAATCCATCGGTCAGTCACCTCCGCCACACCCCAGGCCCTCGGTACAACATCCAAGGTCATCCCAGGGGCCAGAGACATCCTATTCTTCCGTTGAACCGGAATCAGACAAACGTAATCATAGGATTAGAGAAAATCGCGCATTGCGCCACAAGTCGCATATCATTTTCAATGAGATAGATTCTACTGCCGCCGGAAAGAGCACCCCCTCCACTTCGATCAGGATCCCACAGACGACGGGAAATGAACGAAACCGTCGTCGGTCATCCTCGGCAGCCAGCTCTTCCCCAGCTCCTCAATGGATCCAGTATAAGCCTGACGAGCATAGAAACGGTCGCTTAATGCCAGAATCCCTAGATTATAACAAATACACGTCTCGACATACTCGTGGGCGTTCTGGTCCTCTTACTCCTGCCGCTCGTGAGGCAGCTCAAGCTCTCCGTACGATGAAAAATTGTGACTCTTGTCGCCGTCGCAAAATTAAGGTTAGCTACACATCGCTGAAACCTGCCGATTCTAATCTTGTCACTCACATCACGATTAGTGCGATATACAAACGCCTTGTAGAAACTGCGTCAAGAGTTTCGAGCGACACGCACGCGTACCACCTTGTCGAGGGGTGGATGTTCAGTCGCAACATGTAGAGGCTCTGCATTCTATCAAGCCACCGACAGAGCAAGAAGCAAAACCGAATATTGGAGTGTCTGCTGCTGCTTCTCACGTTACAGGCCCCGAGACGTATATTTGTTGCGATCAGTGTCGACAGCGCATATGGAACGAACACTTGCACTGCAACCTCTGTGACGATGGCGACTACGATCTTTGCAACACCTGCGCCAAGGCTGGTTTACATTGCTATGATCCGAGTCATCACATGGTCCAGAGACAGATTAGTAGCGGACAGGTGGTTGACACCGCTCTGAAATACTCCAGAGGACCAACCAAAGTCCGACAGGGCAGCATGTCGTTAGGACAATTTCTCGAAAACCAGGATTTGGGGGAATGGGCGGACGAGATGAACTCACTGGGGACCCCCGTTGAATCTGCCACATTGGGACATAGCACCAGTTCGAAAGATGCCGAGACCTATCCACACGGCCCCCGGTTGCTCTCTCCTACACAATCGGCAATCCCAGAACGGCTGAGCTTTGGCGGCCAATCAGCTTCCACATGCCCAGAGTATGGTTTCGGGTCAAACTCCCCGGCTGTCCCAGCTCTACACGAGCGAGAGCGGGCGTCATACACTATGGCTTCGGCGGCGGCAGCTAGGTTATCACACGAAGCACCTACTTCCACAGATTTTCCATCCGAAATCCCTGTGCTCAAGTCCGCAGGACCAACTTGGAGTCGTGAACGATTCAAACAACAGACCGGCCTTCCATTCTCAAGCACAGAAATAGCCTCGACACAGAAGATTGACGATACAAGGACCGGCAATGAGAGACCGTCGAGCCAAAATTCCGTATATGACAGTCCTTACCCACAGTCACGCGATGGTCAGTCTGATGTAGATGTGGAAATATACGACAGGGAAAATACCGACTCCAGCTCTACCGACAGAGCACAATCTCGAGGACGATCCAGGGGTACCGATGAAAGTGATAGACCAGATTCGATACACCGCCTTCCACGAAGTCGGGGCCGGTCCGAGACTATGCTATCAAGGTCTTATTCTTTTGGTAAATATCAAGGCACAGTTCGTGGAGCAGCTGCAGCAGCATGCGGTCCTAGCGTATTGAGTCCACTTCCCGGGTCCGATTTGACTAGAGTGGATGCTTCACAACAGGCTGACGGAGAGAGTGACGACGACGAGTTAGACGAGTTGCTGCGTGAATGGACAAATGTTGGAGAAGATGAATTGGCAAAAGCATATCAGCCTTGAGACTGATAATTTCGTCATTGCCCTGAGGGGCGCTACTCTCCTACTACGAATGGTCGCTCGATACGTAGGCGGCTATTAATTACAATACAAGTCATTCTACCCAAGATAAGCCCGTCAGTACCACACAATAGTTCGGTCGGATATGATGGTATCGCCACTAGCAATTCTACTCTGCTGGCCTCAGCACAGCATCCCTACACAGCACTACTACGTTCTTGAAAAACCTCCTCCATTCCAACGGATCGCCTTTCTTACGCTCGAAGCTAACCTGCAAGAATTCTGTCCCCAGCCTCTCGACAACGATCTGACCGTTCAGACCTTGGCTCCGCCCATCAACCGTTTTGACTCTAATCCAAACCATGGTTTCCTGCCCCGTTAATTCCCTGTCACCAAATGCTGGGATTGGTACACCAAGGCGGTGCAACGCTTCTGACAGAAGTGGCAAAAGTAAAGAGTGTTTCAGGGCTGACACAAAGCGCGTGAGCGAATGCGACGGCACGATATCACCGAACTTGCGCGCCGCCTGTGTGAGAGATAGAGGGACGGATGGATTTTGCGAGAATTGGCTGAGTGAGAGGTCTTCATTGAAGCGAGTCATGAGGCTCACATCCGGTATGATGTATGTTGAGCCGTTCGTCACAGGCTGACTTGCAACCGGTACAGGCCTCTCCCAGTCAAAAGGCGTGTCTGAAGTAGGCGTTTCTGGCTGAGTGGCCGCAAGCCGTGATATGTGTTCTGCAACAGGCGTATCTATTTCCATTGAGTCATGCTGCGAGTTGCCTCGTTGCTGTGATGTAGATATGGGCGCATTGACGTCGACGTGAAGCGATTCCATCATTTGTGTCGCCATATTGATGGGATCTGCGGCTTTACCTGAAGCTGAGAGGAATCGGTTTTGGCGGGTGTACCAGGGGTGTGTGCGAATTTCATCGAGGGTGAAGCGTTTGTGAGGATCAACTCTCAGCATGCCACGCAAGAGTGATAGGATATCTTGTGGAAGCTTCTGCCATAGCTCGTCGGTGGTATGGCCTTTAGTCGTTACGTATTCTTGGAACTCATAGCTTCGTGCCGTAGGTTCATCCCAAGGTGTGTTCCCAACAAGTAAGACAAAAAGCACAACACCAACGGACCATATATCGGCGATATTAGCTGCGTATCCCACATCTGAATTGCCACTGTTTCTCAATTTCTTTCCAGAAACTATCTCCGGTGCAATGTATGGTGGACTTCCGCAAACTGTGGTGCATAATCTTGTCTTTCCTGACTTCTCAAACAGCGCCGCGAGTCCGAAATCTGCCAGTTTCAAATCTCCATCTGCGCTCAGTAGCACATTTTCAGGCTTGAGATCTCGATGTGCCACACCCATGCTGTGCATATATCCAACTGCACTTAATAGTTGTGTGAAGTAAAAATGTGCAATGTTCTCTCCCACACCTTCGTCTGCCTCAATCTTGTCGAACAGGTCGCCCCCGTCAGCCAATTCCATGGCTATCCATGTCCAGCAGGCATCTTCACCAGAGCCAAAGCATTGTATTATATTGTGGTGTTTCCCGAGATATTCGTGCAGTGTGATTTCAGTCTTCAATTGCTTCGGGGATAGCTTGCCTTGGGTGTGGGCATGGCGTTTATTAATGAGTTTTATTGCTATGATTGGAGCAGGCTTGTCGAGCGGGCAGGCTTTTCGTATCCTGCGACGTACGAGTTAGAGCAATGCTAGTCCCTCGTTGAGCTCATATATGTCATACGATGCGTATGCGCCCTGGCCGATTGTCTTCGAGACGAAGCGGAAGGGAAGATTGGTAGGCAGCGGTGTGACTTGAGACTTTGCGCAATTTAGCAACTGGCTATCGTGAGACCGTGGATACTACTCACATCTGTCGGTGGGGCACCCATATTCTCAAAGAAGGGCTTGACATGTAAGAGTTACTGAATGCTGTTGGCATGAACATGAGGTTGTTTTGGTTCGCGAAGGGTGCCAACCTTATCGATAAGAAAGTCGCGTGGGCAAGATAAGGGCGACGCGCCTTTCGCCCATCCATCATCCACTGTTAAATAGCAGTACTAATAGCCCCTGGGGAGCAGAGGGGCCGGGGCCGCGCTAGCTATCACATTTGATACACACGAGCACTTTCAAATCTTCTTCTACTTTCACACCATCTCCTCGCCCTTCTCCCTCATAAAAGGGGACACATTCATTTCAGATGGACTGATTTCCTTTCATAGCGGCATTGAATCATATAACACACAGGCCCTATTATCAGTTGTTATTCAAGCCATTTCGAGGGTACTCTGACTTAACATCACGCGCCGCGTTTCATCTTTGATGTTATAAAGGTAGCACTATTGCTCTATCATCAGCTGGCCCTCGATGTGGGTGTCCTACACCAATTATCTTCTGCCTTACAGGCAATAAATTTTTCTGTTCCGGATGGGTTGCGTCTATTTGCCGTTCAACGTCTCTTTTAATTTTTCGGTCTCTTGGGACGGAACAACGTTCTTACATTTACCGTTACGTCTCAAACTCCTAAGACCCCTTGAATTGTGTGGGCCTCTTGACGGAGAGACTTCCAAGCTGTCAAGTTGTTCGTCTATCTCAAGCCCGTAATCAATCTTAACATATACTACTGTTCCCTTCTTACTCCTGTCTAGTTTAATGCCCAATCGATCCAGTGGCGGTCTTTTCATAGTTCCATTGGCTACGCCGCATACCTCTTGCAGGTTAGAAAGGCCACGTACCGATTATGTACGTGCTCTGGATAGGTTTCTTTCCTCCTAGTGCTTCTAGATTCCAGTAATAGTATCTGGTCCTGGAATTCCTGTATACCTTTGTTCAATTTACGTAATGTCCAGAAATCACTCTCTTGTTTCCTTTCTGCTTTTTGCCTCCTTTTTCCTATGATGCCATCTTGAGGGAGTCGGAAGCTGAGTTTATTAGCAGATATGTGTGACCCGTTCAATTCTTGCGAGTCATTGGGTTCTAGTGCTATGAACGATGTTAGTACCCTACATCGGTGATAAGTATGACAACTCACTACGATGCTTCTCCATCAAGTCTTCTACAGATCCAGGCTAGGCGGTGGTGGTCATCGTGTGGAGCGCGAATTGTACGCTGCAATACACCGTTTCGCTGTAGATGTCAGTAAAAACAACGGCTTGTTTCACACGGTTATATGACGAAGGCTTAATAATCTCCGTATATGGAGCAAACAGAAGCGCTCGAGCGAAATTCCCTTGTGGAAACTGCCAAAGCAAGAGTGATGGAGACGCAGAAAGATTCTCGGTCTGGAGACACCAGGAAGTCTTGACATGACACTAGCCAAGTGAATGCAGACTTTTTGGCATAGTACGCTCGTGGAACCTTCACCAGCCGTTGCCTACCCGTTCAAATTCCTAGCCGTTTATATATTGCGGCAAACAATTGATTTCGTTCACGGGTTCTCTGACGGTTTTCGGGGGGATGGCGAAGTCGTAGTACTGGTTGTCTCCCGGCAGTGCCACCACGGATGTCATACAGGAGGTTGTAGGTTCGATTCCTACCTCGTGAACCACTTTTTGGCATTTTTGCTAAGATATTCAACTATCTTTTATGATGCCATCTATTTCTTTTCATTGTTACAGTCTAGGAGTTATAACATAGTACTTCTGGGGCCAACTACGTGTCCCACGATCTCACGCATGATATCAGATGGCAATAAAGACGAGAATAAAGACACTTTCTCAGCATTAAAGATCTTCTTGGTAGTGATGCTCCAAATACGATGAATAGCATGGCTGCGTACGACTTTGAGCTGTACCGGATATGCAGTTGTACTACTTGTAGCCGTACTCGTCGAAGATGTAACGTCACAGGCCACACGAATAAGAAACTTATTCCTTGGTATTATAGAAGAGATCAAACTTGACGTACTCGTCCACGTTCCAAATTACGACTTTGGCTCTTCCTGCAGCTCTCTCGCTAAGCTACCTTGGTCCCCGATTGATTCATCACTTGCGACCAGATTTTCAATGTCCGAAGCATTGGGAAAGACTGAAGATACGGAATCACTCGATGCTTACACAACACGAGCGCATACCAAATATACCAAAAAGCACCGAGGAGGGGGACTAGAATATCAATGAGGTGAAGAGTCTTACGTATTAGAATATAGAATACCATGAGGAGACCTGGCATTAAATCAAGTAAAGTTCGGTAAATAGAGATAGTCTCTGTAAGAACATTTCTTAGTAGAAGTAGGAGTATCATATTTGGTGGAATGAGGGTGTGTGTGAGCGAGAAGATTGATAAGAGTTGTTTGGGAGCTATGCGGCTCTATTATGAGAATCGAACATAGTGTTATAATACTCTGGCGCTGTTAATTTACACTATAGCAAACAAAGCTGGAAATACCACTCTTAGGAGGCAACCCATCGTTGTGCATATCTAAATTGAGTACATTTCTGACCTCGAAGCTATAGTCTACATGAATCAAAGTACCACGAATCTGGTGTTCAGTCGATGACCAATATTGGAGATGACAATATTGATCTCCCAGAAGTTATCGTATTTAGGACGACGATAGCCTCCTATAAAGTCTGACTGAAGGATCGCAGTCAACATTCGTCATCATTCAAAACAAGAACAAATACATCTCTGTGTAATGTTGTTTTCCAATCTATATATATTTCTACATCAAACTTTATCTATTTTCTACCGTATCCCTTCTGATATGATGTGCCTATTGTATTACTCTATCAACCAGTATCACAACAAACCAATCTTCTGACTACTGTTTTCAGCCGAGGTAGGTGTTCTTTATTCAAAATCTCGAGTATCGTCATCAGCGCAAATGTGCTCTCTGAGTCATTTAGCAGTACGAAGAGCATCATGTGAGCTATCTACAGACGTCTCTTGCAATAAAAAAAGGCTTTTCATAAGAATCGTGACCTACTTGGATCCTCGTCTGGATTTCCAATTTTACCATGGATAGTGACGAACACTTACAACCATTCTGTTGTAGAAGGCAATTACGCTACAAAACCTGCCTGAAGCTCGAGTTTCAGAGATCTTGCAACACACTAAGGTTATCCGCGCTAGACGAAAAGGAATCAATGTTGCGTATTTCAAGAAAGAGTAAATGCTGAGAGAAACTCATTTGTTTTTGCGGTGTGGAGTTGCTCGGACATACGTCGCCGTTCCTGGGAATCCTGGGGTACATGTCAGACCCAACGTTCACTTCATGATCGACCTACCGGATCGGCCCGGAAATAGTGATCTGCGCTTCACGCTGATGACCCCCATCTGCGCGTGTCTGACTAACTGAAGGATGCATCTCCAGGCCACCTGTCTCTTTCGTCAGCATCCTGATCCTGCACCTCATCCTCGAATACCTTGCTTGTTCCACGTACAAGTACCCTGGAAGCTAGACGGACAGTCATGCCTCAGCAAAGAGAACTTACACCTCCGAGGTATGCGTTGAGATTGAGTGAGGCAATTCTAAAAAGAATCATAGAGTTGCAGCGTTTGAGATGGAGAATGCAGACATGCGGTGTGCCGATCGCATCCGCATCAGGTATAGAAAGACGACGGTGGTAGGGCGTGTATGGTGACATGGCGGTGTTTCGAATGTCCATCCATGAACCATGCTGTAAACGAGTAAGCTCCAACTTCCAACATTCGGACGTACGCCGTCGAGGTGCGTGCATTGCGGCAGTGTTTGGCGGTGTCGTACAGATTCTTAAATAACAATGCGCCCTTACGTCGTTATGCATGCGCGTCCTCTAGCGTATATTGCTCATTCATTCATTTTGTAGCAAAGTACCCAGGATCGGCCGCAAACCTTCCAGTCGTTTCACTTGACTTTGTGCCGGCCCGCAAGGATTCGTTATCTACTTCAAGTCCTCAGCCAAACAATTCACAGCAACTTCGACAACCCGACCCGTGCCCGTTGTGCACACAATCAACATGGCGCACTACCACCGAAGTCGCAGATTCTCCGACATGACCAATGTAATACCCTCATATCCGTCTGAACATAGTTCTCGCCCTCATCTTCAATTTCAAAATCTCCCTCCTCCACCACTCCATCACAAACCAAACTACGCACCTCCATCTTTCTCACCACCTAGGGCCACAGCTGTCGCGAGTATGGCCAAACGCAAATACACCGCACACGAGCGCCAGGCTTCCTACGATCTCATCGACGACCTACTAAAGCAATCCTACGATGAATTACACATCCGCTGTGACGCGCGAATTATCCTCGTCTCCAACGAAAGCATGAAATTGGTCGCAGAACCGATTCACGGTACGGAGGACATCGATCTCGATCTAGTAGACTACGAGGCGCTGGAGGATATTGTCCGAGACGGAGAATACGACCAACCGTACTACTACAGTAAGGGCGTACGGTTGATGTTCCGCAAAAGTACGTCTACGTAACCAATCACTTTCTCCGTGAACCCAGGACATCCTGAATCAGACCCTAACAATACTATAGTTGAAGGAGCACACAGACACAAAAGTGCTGATCCGCCACGCGAGCGTCAGCATACTCGAGACCGCCACGGACCTTCAACGGAGCAGAAGAAGGGTGTTAAGGTTACTGCCTCACCGTCGCCAGCAAAGCAAGCTCCTGCAGAGAAGACGCCAGAGGAGGCAGCTGAGGCGAGAAAGCGCGATAAAGTCTTTACCTATGGACCCGGGATTGCTGTCGCGCTTGCTGGTGTACTAGGTGCTTTAGCTGCACGATGACAAAGGGGATGAGAGTTGAATGTGTTGACCCACGGCCAATCGATCTCAAGCGGCATTTTGGAAGCTAGAGAGGCGTGATAGGCGGCGTAAGGAGTTTTTGGGGTTCGATGAGATATCATGGCTAAGCGAAGGCTATATCAAGGCATAGCTTGCGAGGTTCATATTTTGCTAGTGAGATGTAGCTATTCTCTTGCTACTCAATGGTCAATACTTCGATTGCCAATGTGCCGCTACAACTACTATGAAATTCTTCCATTGCTAGACCCTTGTGCTTGACACAGAGTCATACACACCTCGGAGTCCACTTCACCCTCAACCGCGAAACATTCCCCCCAATCCCTTAATCATCAGTATTTTCATGCTATTCGACCTTCTGATACATCTCGCAAACATCGAGGGGTTGTCACTGTGATGGGTAGCTTTCTACCTACGTTTAGTGCATCCAAATTAGGGTACAGTTGAACCCGGCAAGAAGAATACACAACTAGACAGAGTCGATCGGTATCAAACATGATCAGATAGCATCTCGTACATGAGCTAAAGCTTGGGGATCATATTGGCCAATGACAGTCATGCGTACACACAAGTCAGTGACCTCCTACTCTGTTGTCCAATAAATCGGTGCTGGTATCATTCCTTTATCATGGTCTTGTCTCTTTATACTGCCTTTTGTGGAGCATTTTGATATCAATGAAGAAGTCACAAGGCAGCCAGAGTGTTTGCGGGTCCTTAGGGATCAACAAAGATTCCACGTGCAGGGAAGAATTATCCAGGACACTAAACAGACAGGAGAACTTTATATGCTCTGGCGAGGATATGTACGAGGCATACTTAAATATAAGCATTGACGTAGTGAAAGTGACTCATATCTCCTACAAGCACTAGAATATACAATTCTTCGACAGGGACATGCCAATAGATCCACCGTTGAGTATACTGTAACTAGCCTTTAGCGAAATCGGCAAGGAGAAAGCAATTATTAGCCCTAATATAAGATAGGTGAAACACTTCGTGAATAACACACAGGATAGACATAGATTTGGCTCTCTACAAACGGCCATGTGGAGGGGGACTATTCAGTTTAGTGCCGATATACAACACTGTATATGCGTTTTTGCACCGTATCTCCTCGGAACTTTCTCTCAGTGACAAATTTCGAGCAATTCGTTGATGTATGTTAAAAATCTGTGACCGGAGCATATTGCGCTGCCAGACCATGTAAGGTTCGTTCGTGTTTCTACAAACGAAACTTGACGCGACCGGGAAGCTGTAGTCTTTGACCAAAAGATAACTTTTGATACTTGCCTCATGCACTGTCAAGACCATATGACTATACTTGATAACCGCTTATGGTTGGTAATAAACATCGAATACCATCAATACATAGAACCGAATGCCACACCTCATATGTATAATGCTCGAAGCTACGTAACATCATGATAATCATCCTCAAGAACAAGTAATCAGAGTCGGTAACAAGCTTGTTCGATCTACCCCTTGTTTTACAAGATTATCAATTTTGAGTCGGTTCTGCTCCCACGCAACCCATGCCGCAGCTTGTAGAAAGCAGTCTGCAAGATCGTCTTTCTTGGTCATGTCCAAGTCCGGATCTGTTACCTCACTGTCATCGAGTTTTTTCTTCCTTCGAGCACCCGCGCAGAACGCATTGCGTACTCGTTCGGCCTGCTTCGAAAAGGTAATCTCGATGGGCTCGTTCACTGTCATGCTACTTTCAGATTTGCGAGGTGGTATAAAGTATACGTATGTATCTGCTGAGAACCACTCTCGAACTACAGCGATTTTGTCTTTCTTCTCGATCTTCTTTTTCTTCCGTGCTTTGCCGACCTCAGCACACGTTGATTCCGTTTGGCACGTGCTGCTGTCGACCCAAAACTGGCCCACGGCTTTAGGCGCCACAGGAAATGCATTGAATCTAGGCAAAGCTTTACCACTTCCTGACTCACGATTCAGTGTTTCCAAGACTGCCCAAAGCATGCTTTCAAGCATATTGACTCTGATGGTCCACTCCTGCACAGCAGAGCCATTTGCTTGGCGGAAGTGCTGTCGCTCGATGAGAACAATCGATGGCTCATTAGGAAGAAGCTGGTTTTTCAAAAGATCATAGGCTCTAGTTGCCAGTGATGGTGGGTAGAAAATGTCGTCCGGTACTGATTCTTGCCCTGGAAGCGCAGATTTATTCTCGGTGGTGGACACGGTTGATGCGCCTTCGAGCTTCGTCAGATCGAAGCGTTGCCACTTCTCAACTTGCAAAGATATCGTAGGCTGAGTCAGAGATTCCAGTTTGACATCAACGATGCAATATGCCAAGTTTTTGATGCCCATGTCGATGCTTAGGATCCGCGCACAATTATTCTTCCACTGAATGCGAGGTTGGGTCATCCCAGCCTCGAATCGATCCGTGAGTGCAGGCTTCGGCCCCGACTTTGCGAGGCCGAGCAATCCACATAGTGATGCGAGGTTCACATTTGTGAGAGTAGGCGCTTTCTTGAGTAGCTTCGATGCAGCTTTCTTCACGGCCATAGCCTTCCTGCAGGCTGGCTCGCGATGAAGTGAGGACTTTGGCGATGAAATATCATATTCAATGCTGCATCAGAGCGAAGATGGTTGCAAGTCTGGATGGTGAATACGATGTTGACACTTACACTTGGTTCGACAAGGAGAAGGTTTGGCTGATCACGTGATGCACGAGCTCGGCACCATTCGGACTTTGGCCAATCACGACGTCCCAGAAGTCAGACGCAAATCGACGACCTCATCAAAGAATCCCATTACGACGTTCCAACCAACGCGACCTTCCGATCACGACATCGACCGACCGCAGACATGTCTCAACCCTCTCTCGCGAAATTCGTTATCAAGCGCCCATGGCTACATAACTGGCTGAAGCCACTGTCGCAGTGGTATGCCGACTCGGCAGGTTACAGAAAGCTCGGTCTGAGGTATGAGAGCTCCGCCAGCACGTTACGCTACCAATTGGAGCTGTGCATTGAACTTATCATCACAGTAGTCCATATGATTAGAAGCTAATGATTGTTCATGATATAGAGCCGATGATTTGATACCTGAAGAGAACGAGACCGTCCTGCTCGCTATGAAGCGCCTGTCTCCAAAGGAACAATACGATCGTGTGTTCCGCATGCGCCGTGCTTTCCAGGTACATATATCAGGGTTCTTTGCTATTGTCGCGCGAATTTGACGGCAAACAGTGTTCCATCCAACATCAATTACTCCCAGAGGCAGAACAGACCAAGCCTGAGGAGGTATATATTACGATTCTCTCGCGACTATACGCAGGTACTAACAAAGCCACAGGATGTACCGTATCTTACTCCACTTATCAAACAGATTGAAGCCGAGATGGCGGAGAGGGAAGACCTGGACAACATTGTTATCACGAAACCGAAGGTGGCCAAGTCATAAACGAAGAGATGTTGCATGCATTGTATAGCGGAATAAGGGAAATCGGACGCAGACGAGTAGAGTGTATAGTACAGTCAATCGGTAAAAAGATTTGCGTATTCTCCTGCTACATTGCTACCAAGATCCATAGCTCGCGCCGAGGCGTGTGTTTTCGCCCGTCGACATTCGACTGCGAACCTATATATCGAAGTCGACGACTGCTATGCCGAAATCTGAAAAGACAGCTGTCACTTTGGCGTGGCCAGATCAATTTAACCGAGTATGCCTTCGCAAGAGCATACATTTGATCTCGGTGCTCAAATAGCTCTTCTTATGGCCACTTTCCAACTCCACCTATCGGAGTGTAACAGTTAACCTCAATATGGGTATAAGGAACTCTCCTATATGAATCAGCAACAGGTCCTCATTCCTTTCTTGATTCCTGGTCCTTTCCCAATATCGACCTTAAATCTTTCTCGGTGTTGGAGTACCAATCCTTGTCGGCTGCGACATCCTTCTCGACCTCCGCTGCACTCTTTGTCTTGTTCTTTCGTCGTGAGTCACCTATGAGGCTCTCCCGAAGATTGCTAACAGCCGTACTATCGACTTTCTCTATTTTGTTGTGTTGTCGTAAATGCTGCTTGTTCCATGATAACTCGCCCCCGTCTGCGTCGCGATGTTTCGCAGCGTTGATTTTAGCCGCTTTGATGGACGATCGTGTGTAGACGAAGAGGACACCAGCCATTGTGAAGGCGACAATAGGTGCTGTGAGTGTCTAGTAGCAGAATCAGTATGAAAACAGCTCAAGACATGTGGGACCTTACTCTGGCGTTCACCGTCCGTCGTGGCATGGTCTTACTACCAGCGGCCGCCGGTACAGAAACACTATTACCCATGGCGCAGATTGACAAGCTTCATATGATCAGTCGTTGGATCTGTCTAGGTTGGGCGCATCACGGACGTGGTCGGTCGTTTGCTCGTGGCACTGACATATAAAGCTATCCACTATCCGTTTGTCCATAGTTACATGGGAAAGCTTGGCGCCCGATGCACGTCTATGCCACCAACACGCGTTTTTATATATAATTAATATTTTATAGCATCGTCAACGAATACTCGTATACCTATTAAAATACCTATTATATATTAGTATTATATGATATTAGCTATATATTAGTATTTTTTTAACTATTTTACGCTATCTATTATACCTCCTAAGTAGTATAAAGGTATTTAATTCAGATAGGATAACTCGATAGAACCTCTACTACTACCTCCTAGGCTATAGCTATATATATCTACGTTAAAGGCGCTCTAGTATAGTATAGATAAGATATTAAGGGCTATAAAGATAGCGGCGAGGTATAAAAATATACTACTAGCGCCCTCTAACGTACCCTTATTAAGCGATCCTCTAGCCTTACTAGATAATATATCTAATAATACTAATAACTCTACTTTAGTTTATAGAGATATAGTTAAGAAGAAGAAGAAGAAGGATCTATAGGATAATAACGCGGCTCTTAATAAGATAATATAGTCTATCTATTAGGACTTAGCCTTAGGTAGGACCCGACCTACACGTACCTTAGCTAACAGGGTTAGAAGGTAACGTAAAGGGTAGTAAATAGTTACGTGCTAGATAGATCGGCGTCCCTTTATATATATACTCTTAGATTTCTACTAAAAGAATTTAGTAGTAATTTATTCTATAATAGAATATACCCTATTATTCTATCTAACTATACTACTATCTAATAACCCTATTCTTATATTCGAATTACTCCCTATATAGTACTATAGTTAAGATAGTCTAACTAGAACCAAGAAGGTCGACATAATCTACTATAGGGATAAGTATAAAGAGTAAAGACGTGGGATAGTAGTCTAATAGTTTATAGAGAGACATAGGAATGTATTTATAGAGTAATCTTACTCTTATACGAGGTTAATTCCTAACGAGTAGGAATTGGTTTATACGGTCTACTTATATAGTAACCTCGCTTAACTTAGCTAACTTAACCTAGCTCTAGCCACTACGTGGCTACATAGATTAGAATAGTCTATATAGGTCTATTATAGTTCCCGTCCTAATAATATCCTTCTTCTTTTTATACTTCGCCCCGAAGTACTTAAGTATATATAATTCTAAGTCTCTATAATCTATCGTGTATCTATATATCCGTAACTAAGTTTCTATAATATTATAACTATCCTTAATATAGGTAAACTCGAGATTCTAGTTTACTTTTACTAGTTTATATACGCGCTTATCCCTTACTTCGTGGCTACTACCTAGGATATATAATCGCTACTTTAGTTAAGTATATATTTAGCTTCGCTCGCCTTTAATTTTATTCTCTAGTATATCTACCTCGCTCTTAAGGTAAGTCGTTAATTTATATACTATCTTTCCTAGTTTAGGTTTAGAAGGGTCTATAGTAGTCTATTCTTATTAGAACCGGTCCTATATAACCCATTCGCGTTATTACGGTTACTAATTTAGCTTCGTTAATTACCGTTAAGGGTAGATAAATATTCCTTCCTTAGATCTCTAGCTAATATATATATATAGATATCTAATACTAGTCCTATCTCTAAGCCTACCTCCTCCTCTCGTAAGACTCGCTCTAAAGATATCGCCTTCTCCCCGGCCACGCCGGCTAAGAAGTCTACCTATTACGGTAGCACGAAGGCGTGCTCTAAGTTAGAGAAGAGAGTAGCTAGGGCTACTACTACTACTGCCTCTACTACTAATATAGCTACTAGTCACTCTAATCTAGATAATTCTAGTACTAAACTTATAGATAAAGTGGTTATAGATTCTCCTCTCGCTCTAAAGCGTACGCTATCTACTCTACCTCCTCTAGAGGATAAAGAAGATCTCGTTATAGACGATAATCGCGAGCCCTCGCGCTTACCTATACCGCCGCCTCGCCGCTCTTCCTTCTGGTCTAATATAGACTAATTTAGTTACTCTAGGTCCTTTTAGAACCTTAATATTCGCTCTAAACCCTAGTCTACTAATAATAAGGTCTAGGTCGCCAAGAATACTAAACGTAGTCGCGGTTTATACTATAGGAAAACAGCGAACTACGGTTTAATATACTATAAGTATATTAAGAGCTATACGGCCGGCTCTAAATATCTCTTTTACTCTAACTCTAGTATTAGCTACTACTCTACTAACCGCGACGGGCCTATATACCCTATCTTTACTCTATCTACCTACTACTACTACTATACCGTAACTAGTAAGACTTATCTATAAATAAGTATAATGGGCTATCTTAATCTAGTATAATCTAAAGTAGTCCGCGCTAATACATTCTTAGGTTCCTATATATATATAAGATATCTATAATGATCTTCGTGTCCGTGAGACCCTCGGGGGTCCTTATAGCTGCCTATCTACTATATAGAGGGAGTTTAGGGAGCGCTATAAGCTCTTCCTAGAGGTTATTAAAGTATAAGTTATAAGCACGTTAATTATTTTTAACACCTATTAATTTTTCTAGCCGCCGCGAGATCCCTAGCGCCTAGACTATCTATTCTAGGGAGTCTATCCTAGCTATAGAGGCCGTAGAGAGGATTCGCTCTATCCCCCCCCGTCCGTCTCGCGCTACTAATAGATCTTATAAGAGGTCTACTATTTCTCCCTCTAAGTTACCTTATAAGAGGATATATATTCCCTTCTAGATTATTCTAGATTATATTAGCTAACTTTAGACCTAGTCGCTACGCTCTAGCGCTTAAGGCTCTTCTCTATAGACTCTAACGGATCGGGTTATTACTCTAGAGGCTAAGGTCGTCGTCCTCTACCGCTATATCATATAGTTAGAGAGAACTATACTAGAGGTTAGAATAGATAATAAGATAGAGGAGTAGCTCTATAGTTCTAGCTCTATGAGTTTAGCTCTATATATTAGCTCTATGGTCTAGCTCTATATATTAGCTCTATGCCTAGCTCTATATATTCTAGATCTACTATAGGTGGTGCGCGCCGGCTCTATTTACCTAGCTTTTATCCATTTTAGTCCTTTTTAGACCGTTTAGATACCCGTCGGCTAGTTTCTAGTAATTTAATTCTTAACTTAACGATATTATATATACGCTCGCTTAGCTTATAACTATCAGTTTCTATATTCTAATTTTCCTTAAGTTACCTAAGTATAGACACTATATATAAATTAGTTTATCTCTATAAATTCTATTAGAGTACCCGAACTAGTAGCCTAGTAGTTATTGGTTCGGGTACTCTAACCTTTTATATTTCGTGTTAAGAGTTTAATTCTATAGTAGGGTACCTTTTTTTAGGTTCTTGGTCCTATGTTTTTCTCGTGTATAATAGTCTATATTAGTCTATTCTAGACTCTTCTATATTATTCTATTATGGTATATCGCGTCGCGTTTCTAAAATGGTTATTTACACTTTCTTCGCGTCTAGTAACCATACGACGCTTAAATTATAGGGCTGCTATATAGAGTTTTCCTAGTGCGCGTCTAGATTTCCTAGTTTAGTACTTTATTCTCTATGGTATCCTTCTTCTTTTTACGACGACCGCGACGTCGCTATACTTATATTAATAATATACTATTCTATATCTTTTACTTATACGCAGCTATTATAGAACTTAAGATATATACTACTAGTTCCTAGGTGTCCTTATCCTTAGTGTAGTCCTTCTAACGGATTCTATATTTCTAAATACTATCTTTATTAATCCTATGTTTAATAATATGGTCTACTTCGAACACGTCTAGTCTATCTTAGGGTATAATAGAGTATAACTATATATTCGTGCGGCCATACACGTTAGGTCGAAATCTTTCGAGTAGTAAGACGTGGAATATATTATAGATTCTTATATCGCTTCCTAAGTCGAGCTCGTAGACTCTTATACCGATACGACGTTTAATTCGGAAGGGACTAGCTATTTTATAATCGAGCTTCTTATTTACTTACGACGTTCGTATGTTACGGATATTAAGAAGGACCTTATCGCCCTCCTTATACGTCTAATCCTTGGCTAACCTATTATAGTACTTTATATATGAGTTATTTACTTATTGGATTATAGCGTAATAGTTACGTGCGGTTTCGAAGATTTTAATCGCTAATTCCTAAGCGTGGACGTTCACGTCTATTATTCGATTAAATTAGACCGTCTAAGACTTAAAACCTATTCTTAGACTACGTCCGAGGTTCGCCTAGAAAGGTATAATATCTATCGTACTATAACGACTATTATTATATACGAACTCTACTATACTTAGTAGGGAGGCCTAGTTATCCTACTCGAAATTATAGAATGTACGTAGGTAGGCCTTAAGCGTCTAGTTCTATTGCTCTATCTAGCCATCCGTCTAAGGATAAAATACTATAGATATATTTCTATTTATACTTACTATTTCGTAGAATAACGTCTAGAATTTAGACGTGAAGGTACTTCCTCGGTCCGTAACGATCCTTTTTAGTATACTATAGACCTTAATAATCTTGTTCTAGAATACCTACGCTAGTTCTTTAGATGTAATCGTCTTCTATACCGGGATATACCTAGATATCTTTATAAGTCTATCTACGATAATAAGAATAGAATTATAACTTATTCTAAGTATCTTACTTAGAGGTAAGTTAGTTATAAAATCTATAGTAACGTCTTCCTATATAAAGAGGGGGGCTGAAAGAGGCTGTAAATTCCTATATGGCTTATGCCTAGGGGCCTTCGTTCTTTGATAAATCGGATAAGTAGCTATCTATTCTTCGACGTACTTAGGTATATCTTTCTAAAAATAGTACTAATGAATTAAGCTTAGGGTACGTATATACCTAAAGTATTCTACTAGGTTAGTATTATAGTATCAGCTAACTACGTTAAATTGCGCGTTATCT